TCCACACATGCACAGAGAGAACCTGTAAACTCCACCCAGAAAGGTACTGGGCCTGGCCCTGGATTTGAACCGGCGACCTTCTCGCTGAGAGGCAACAGCTCTACCAACTGATCCACCATGCCACCTTTTGGTTAAATCCATCGTCAAAAAATAAAAGGAATATGGGACATGTGTAACTCTACTAAGATTAGTTCGTCCTCACAAACTGAGTAGCCCTGCAAGAAGGAGAAATGCGAAGGAGACACCTGTGACCGCTCTGAAGGAGTTACAAGCTTCAGCACGTGAAACTGCAGAGACTGTGCATACAACTGCACTTAAAAATAAGAGGTAAGCAAACGTCTTTTCTCCAAACCTGATCCACAGTAAAAACACTGATCCTCTCACGTCCCAGCCACTTGGTGAACTCAGCTTTCCAGTTCTGCACAAGGCTGCCAGGTGTAACCACAAGGACGCGTTTTGTCACTGGTTTCCCACCGTAAGGCCCCTGTTTGAGCAACGTCCAGGACAATGCCACACTCTGGAGAGTCTTTCCCAGTCCCATCTCATCAGCCAGGATGGCGCCATAACGACCCACGGCTCTGAAGAACAAATGCATCAACATGAACCTTTAGGGCTCTTATGAAAAGGTTGCAGTACCTTTTGCACATTTTATGACAAAAAAATATTTATTAGAAAGACCTCTACAGTTTGACATCATGCGCTAGAGGAAAAGTACCCTCACCTCAAGCCCATAACACACTCGTAGAGGAAAAGGATGCCTTCTCTTTGGTGAGGCCGCAGATGTGTGGTCAGGTGTGGATCAACCACAACGTCAACCACAGGAAGCCCTGATTTATTATAAAGCCACTGGTGGTTGGAAGAGGGGTGAGGCATCACTAGTGCACCTAAAAATAATAAGTACGAGTTCAATAGAAAGCAAAGTCAACTCCGAGGCGTAAAAGGTGTTCCTGGTTTGGTTTATCTACCTGGAGCTTGTGGGTTGTGACGAGGATTGTAGACTTGTTCCTCTTCTGCTTTTGTTTCTGGATGCCCTGCTCTGCCCAACATTGTAGGTGGACTGAAAGGTTTAGAAGCCAAGCGATGAGAAGGCGGCGGAGCGGACTTTGTGCACGACTCCACTTGATCTATTTGGACATCCTGGAAACATCGGCCTTTAGCAAAGTCCTCAGCAGAAATGATTCCCATCACCTCTACCTCTTTTCCTCCAATCATCAGTGTTTCTCCTTCAGACAGCGAGGCCAGCTGTGACATCTTGTAGCCACTGCCTGAAACACAAACGCACAAACACGTGAAGATCTGGAGAGCAATAATCTGATACTGGTCTTCCTATCTGGGAGGTACAGTGGCGCAGTAGGTAGAGCTGTTGCCCCTCAGCAAGAAGGTTGCTGGATTGAATTCTGGCTGGGGGGGCCTATCTGGGTGGAATTTGCATGTTCTCTCCGTGCATGCATGGATTTTCTCTGGGTACTCCAGTTTCCTCCCAAAGACCAAAAACATGCATGTTAGACTGATTGGTAACTCTAAATTATCTCTAGGTGTGAGTAAGAGAGTGTCTACCAAGATTAGTTCGTCCTCTCATTTGTCTCTGTGTCCCTGTGATGGACTGGAGACCTGTCCAGGGTGTCCCCCGCCTCTTGCACAGTGACTGCTGGACATGGGCACCAGTGACCCCCATGACCCAAAAAGGAAGAAATGGGTAAAGATAATGGATGGATGGACGGTTCTTCCTATCCCTCAAGTGAGTTTCTATACGGTAAAAAAGCTTGAATGCAGAAATAGTTTGTATGAATAGAAATATTAAATCCATCAATCACTTTCTGCCTGTTCCTGAGTTGGGTTGCGAGGGCAGCAGCTTGAGCAGGGAAGACCAGACATCTCTTTCCACCTCCACCTCTTCCAGCTCAGAGATAGGGTGAGAAGTTCAGTTATCCAGGAGAAACTCAGAGTAGAGCTGCTTCTCCTTGACATCAAGATGAGCCATTTGAGGTGGTTTGGGCATTTAGTAAGGAGGCCCCTGGACGCCTCCCTAGGGATGTTTTCTTGGCATGTCTAACTGGGAAGAGACTCGGGTAGACCCAAGACACAGAAGAGACTAAGTCTCTCTGCTGGTCTGGAACACCTTGGGGTCCTCTAAGAAGAGGGAGAGTCCAGTTAACTCATTTTGACCTCCTGCATCCGTGACCTCATCCTTTTGGTCACAACCCCAATTTCGTGGACATAGTTGAGGGTAGAATGTAGGCCTATCAGTAAACGGAGAGCGTTGCCTTACAGCTCAGCTTCCTCTTCACCACAACGGACCAGCACAGAGTCCGCAATACCGCAGACACTGAACCAATCCATCTGCCAATATTGATCTCATTGTTGAGACTTGTCAGGTAGTTTTAGTAAACCAGTAGAGCATCTCTACAAAAATATTACAAAATTAATAAATAAATAAATTATCAAACAAAATATTTTAAAAAGATAGCCATAAACTTCATAGAACACTCAAATCTCAGATCAGAACTCTTATTTCTTTATAGTCCATTTCTACTTTAATCGATCTGGTAACTGGAGAACTCCACTGAGCAGGACTCTAAGGTCTGGAGCTGATTACGAAACAAGGTGGAGCTGCATCAATTTGAGCTCCAAGAACCAAAGCAGCGCAGGTGGAGTGACGATAGGAGGGCTGTTTTTACATATAAAGCAATAAATTCCTACATTTACATAGGATTTAGAATTTAATTAAGCTCATAATGGATAATTGTGTAAGCACAGTGTGATTAAAAAATGTGTGCCATTTTCAGACCACTAATATGCAGATTTAGTATTTGAACTGTGTTTAACTTTGCAGTACTTCTTTATCTAATATACACCAAGAGTTCAGTTGCAACAAGTTTCACAGCTTTTTCACGATTTAATAACAAAACCTTAAGTTTGGGGTGTTTAAGCCTCACCCGTTCCAATATTCTTCCCTTCCATGTCTTTGAGTACGACCGAGCGTCCTCTTGTGACCAGCACTGCATCCCCCTCCCAGCGCTTATGTTTCTTCTTACTGGCTTTACACCACACCACACTGAAGTAACGCACGCCATCCTGAACACAGCCAGGGGCTGGGCCTGAAGCTTCACAGACTCGTTCTGACCCTGCAGAAGGCAGAGGGGTCCGAGGAGAACCAGGATCCCACTGAGGACTTTCATTTACTCCTGTAAGACAAAAACATTAAATAAAGTGAATGAAACGATTCAAGCTGCAGGTTGAACAAGTCACCAGCAGAGGTCACGTTTGCATTAAGGCTTCACTGTGAGTGCCAAAAATAAATCCTTGGATCTGGGACAAAGTGCTCCTCTGCACACACACACACACACACAAAAAAACTGCAACAAACATGTCCAATATTAAAAGGTTTTCCAACAACCTTCAACACTGAATTCAGATTTGGTTCATAGCATGCTTTTTTAAATTTTACCATATGCAACAGGAAATCGTGTACAAAACAAGAAAAGACCAATTTGTTATGAAAATTATTTTTTAATAAATAGATGAACATGAAGATAAATCGTAAAAGAAACTAACAGCACTTGTATACAAAACATTACAACACAGTTGGGGACAAATTCACTTACACCAAACAGCATCAATAATAAAAGATTAAAATAAAATAACTACTTTTCCCTTTTCTTGTTCAATAAACTTGTTAACAATTCAGCAAACAGAGACATTTTCACATTTCACTCATCTTCACCTTAAATTCACAGGTGTTGCCATAGTTAGCACGACATATTAAGGCTTAGGATGTTGGGCTACAAATCCTACTTGATCATTAAAAAGAATAGAGAGCATTTTTTACATTTACTTTTGAGTGTTTTTTTAACCTATGTATTAAACTGTTTAGCTTATTACATTTTAATTCTTCGGATACCATCTCAAATACGTTTTTAAACTAATATAATCTGGACAAACCGTTCTAACAACTCTAAATATGAATGCTGAAAATGCTTTAACAAGAAGAGACAGTATGATAGTCTGTATGAGGCACTATGACTGAAAAAAAAATCTAATTTGCTCTCAAACATTAATTTAATTAGCACAAATATTCATAAAAAGAGTGATTCTGAGGATTTTAATTTTATTTTAAACACTTCCTACTGTTCCGTTTGTTCTTTCTAATTATATAGGAATCGACAGCCCGTGTCTCAATCGGGCAGCCCTCAGTTTCTCTACTCTGATCTTCGCTCTCAGAAGTTCCTCCTCCAGCTCCTGCTTCCTCTTCAGACCCTCCCTCTTCTCCTCCAGGTACAGGGCGACCTTCCTGTGATTGGCTAACGCCAGCTCGTGCTCCTCTTTGAGCAGGTGGAGAGGGCGCAGCCGGTCTGGCTCTTGATGAGAATAGAAGTCATTTGGGTAAAAGTCATGGCGTAAAGGCAGCGGTGACGCAGAGAGGGACAGGTTAACAGAGGAGGGAGCAGGAGACAAGGATGCTTCATAGTTGTGGGCGCTCCCCAAATCCTGCTCTTCTTCTTGCTCCTGAAGCCCGTCCAGCCCTGGGCCTGTGTGGGGGGAAACAATGGGGATATCTGGTGGCGGTTTAACGTCTTCTTTGGGGTCCAGCTGGACCACCACGTGAGGGACAGTTGGGACACCTGCTGAGTAATCCTGGAGTCCAGCCAGAGAAGAGCTGCTTCCAGGATGCTCAGTGGGGGAGCTGTGCTTGTTGTAGATCAACCTAAATACGCAAAAAACAAACAAAAAGGAAACTTAGACCACTTAAAAAGCAATTCTTTATTGTTAATTTGAAGTACATGTGAAGAAAAATTAATTAAAAATAAAAAAAGACAGATTGGGATTCAATGATATAAAATTAAATAAGACAGATAACTTGAAACAACTTGATATTTGTTGTGTTGCATCTGTATTTGTGGGTTTTTCAAGTCACTTCTTATTTTGTGAATCAAAAGATTAAAAGAAAAAAACATAAACTAACTAACTGGTCTCATATGTGAGAAGATATTTTGTTGCCACTGTTGTTTTTTGGTGTAAAAAGTCCAGATTCTTAAAGGTTAATTGGTGAAACATTAAATTTCTTTGAATGCGTACTTTAAACGATTCAGTTTGTTCTGATGCATGCTCAATAATCCAGGTAGAAAAATCTAAAAAAGTTAAGTTGGGTCCTCTGGACAGGTTAAAAAAACAAACCAAAAAAAAATTGTAGAAACATTTTGTCTTTCATCCGAAAGACTTGTTCAGTCTGAGGAGCTGTATTCAGCTCAGTGATGGGAGTCAAAACGGTGGCGACTCCCATCACCCTCTGCAGCATCAGGACTCTGTACCACAGAGCAGACAGCATCCTCACTAACTCAGGAGCCAGGCAGAAGAAGAAATCCCACACAGGATGGGCTCTAGAGCAGGGGTCTGCAAACTTTGCGATAAAAGAGCTGTTTTTTTCCACTTTGCTTACTAATTACGATGTGTCCGGAGCCGCAAAACCTGCTACAACTGTGTACTGTCAACTGGTGGCCCGTGGACCACTACAAGCTTGGAGATGGCTTTCCTGGCCAGTGGGGGTGATTTTATAAAACAAAAAATGTCTAACTATTATTAACATTTATTGATATTTTTACATTTTAATACAAAACAAACAAACAACAAAAAAAAAACAGACCAGATTAATGTAAAGAAAGAAAAAATATATAATTTAACAATTTTATAAAATTGAAAACACTGAACTCTTCAGGTTTATGAGTTCTCGTAATCGTTGAAGTTGTATTCTACTTAAAGCATAAAGTTAAAGACAGCATAAAATTAGGCCAGTTTGTTAGATATCCAATTACATTTTTAAATTAAAAGTAGAGAAATTGCATTTCCTGTGAAAATGTGGTGTAAACGCTTATTGCAGAAGAACTTGCTGGAAAACAGCTGAAATTAGCTAAAAACATGCTGAAATGTAGTTGAAATGGAAGAACAAGCCTAAATTAGCAGATTAGATGAGCGAGAACAAATATTTGATGAATTAGGTTCAAATAAACAGAAATGAGCATAAAAAATAGAAAATTAGCTAAAACAAAGCTGAAATTAGCTAAATGTAGCTGAACAGTAACTGACAAGGGAAAAAGAAGCTTAAACTACCAGAAGGAAGCGGAAAGAGCTGAAATAAGCTAAAAATGTGGAATTAGCTGAAAAAGCTAAAATTAGCATAAACCAGCTAAATAGTAGCTGAACAGTAGCTGAAAAGGGAGAAAGAAGCATAAACGACCAGAAGGAATCAGAAAGAGCTGAACTTAGCTAAAAATGTAGAATTACAATGTCCCAGTGGCTTTTAAACCACAAAATACATTACGGCAAAGACTGGTTCATCCCAAAGATCCAGTCCCCCGGCACAAACAGAGTAATATTGTGTATGTTGTTCAGTGTCAGGAGGGTGATCAGTCTTATATCGGGGAAACTAAACAGCCACTGGCCAAAAGGATGGCCCAGCACAGAAGATCAACATCATCAGGCCAGGACTCTGCGGTCTACACTCATCTCCAGGCCAGCGGTCACTCTTCCAGGGATGACCTAACATTTTTAGATTCAGTTTGTTGTTTTCTGCACTCTCCCAAATAAATTTTGAATTTTCCAAAAAAAACAAACAAACAAAAAAACCCCCACTATGGTTCAAAGTAAAACTGGAAAAATTATTAAAATCAATAATAAAACAAATTTAAAAGGCAAACTATAATGTATATTTTTTTCATTAATGATGCTAAGTATGTGTCTTGTTTGAGAAGATAAACTTCACACAGTGGAGTTGTATGCCTGTTTCTTGTGTTGTCCTTTCAGGCGTGTACAGAAACATGTGTCTGAGCTCATAGGTGTAAGTAACGTGTACCTGCGCAACGCCTGGTCCTTTTCGTGGTTGGGCACGTGGTGAAACAGGTGAGGGATCATCTCCATAATCCTCCTGGTAGGCTCCGAGATGCTCCCTCTGTACTCTGGCTGGGCGTGTCTCCTCTGCATCACTTCCTGCTTGGCTGACTCCTTCAGCCTCTTGTAGAGGGTCCTGAGGCCTTGAGCAGTCCGGTGGGGTCTGTCTCCACCCAGAGAGTTGTACTGCTCGGCCACGGTGTCCCAGCAGTTGTTCTTGTCCACGATGACGGCGTGCTTGTTGGTGTGCTCCTCCAGGATGCGGATGTGAGGACGAACAAGCTTCAACAGGTCCAGCTTCTCGGAGACGGTGAAGTTGGAAGAGCGAGCTTTGCCCACCATGCTGGACAGAAACACAGAGCTGGATGCCATCTTACAGCACAGCAGAGCCACACTGTCCAAGCCAGGCCTAAAGCTGTCACCCCTCTGATCCCCTCAGAGTTGTGGCTCCTCACTTTGCTCAGCTGTATCTTTTTCTGTCCCTTCTTCTTTTAATCCACTGAGACACAAAAGCCCAGCTCAAATAAAGTTCTAACTGACACTCTCTTCTTCTCCAAATCATTCATGAACTATAAACTAAAAAGGTGCATGAATTCACAGTCTGGTCCTGGGTTCCCTCTCAGCTACGATGCACAACAAAAAACTGTCTGTGCTGCACACAATAAGAATCAGGCTTAACTAGGCCAGCCTCGTTTAGGCCCCCGCCTACCACGGAGGGCTTTGGATGAATTCCTCTCAGCTTTAGGCTGACGTAGCTAAGCCGCTTAAGTCCAGCCCGACCTACTTACAGCTCGGTCTCTCTAAACCCCAAACCAGGCACAGCAACAGCCAGCATGTCTGTGCTGCCTTCAATAAAACGACAGCAGCTGAAGGGCTGTGCTTCCCGGGCAGAAGGGAGGAAAAACAGTGTTTAAACGACACATTTAAGGCAGCAACAACAGGGCTTGTGGGGTTTGTTTTGTGAAAGCGGTGCTGGTTTAACTAGATTAGCGAGGAGGTTTGAGCGCACTGCGCATGCGCAGGGAACAGCGCTTCTGCCCCAGATTACTACTAAAGGCGGTCACGTTTAAACCTCAATCTGCGCACATTTATCAGCCCGAAACGCGCATTTTCAGTGGCGGGAACCTGATTAAACAGAACTCCAGCAGTTTACACGATACTGGTTCCGAGCTTCAGCTTCGCGCTGTTATTGGACCCAGAGACCCCTATCGCGCCTGAATGCATTATTTTTGCTACAACGCTCAACAGACGGAAAAAAAATAGCGAAATTATACTCGTTTTTAATTATAAAACGTAGCCAATACCGAGTTGCATGTTTGCAATTACTGTTTCCACCTTTATTTACTCAAGTAATCTCATTTTCAGAGAGGGATGTTGCAAAGAAACAAGACAAGCAGACAATTTAAAGAAAAGTATCACATAAAAATGAGCAAAAATACTTAGGTGCTGGTTTTCCAAATTGTGTTTTAAATCATTTAACACAGAGGTCTGCAACCTGCACCTCTGGACCCACATGTGGCTTCTTGTCTTTGACCCCAAATAAAAAAATACAAAGCTGAGTAATATTTAAATCTAAATTAACAACAAGGGGTGTTACTGCACATAAAGCTTTATGGATGCACAGCACAGGGTAACAAGTCACTTCATAAAACAGCCTGCTAACCATAGGGACTCTGTAAGTACTGTACACAGTACACACTCTGAAGTAACCCTTTATGCATCCCTGCAAGTACTGTATGTACCCCGTTTGCCATTATTTTACATTGCAAGTACTCACAACTACCACTACTCTGTAATTACCCTGTATGTACCCCATATGTATTTGTAATCACACTATAAGTAACCCTTTACATATCTTGTAAATGCCCTTTATGTACCCTATAAATATCCTTTAAGCGCTGTGAGTATTTTGATTAGATATAAAAGACGCTATATAAGTACAGTCATTTACCATTTACCTTGAGGAATCAATAATTACCCTGTAATGATCATGTAGAAACTCTGTCTGTACCCCCTGTGGTTACCTTATAACTACCTAGTATGAACCCTAAAAGTACTTTGTATGTACCGCGGAAAGTACCACTATAAAGGATGCATTTGTCACCATTTTACATTATCCTGTACCATGCTGGATCTCCATCCCAAATACCTTCAATTAAAATGGGTATGATACTTCATACATCCATCATCTTTACCCGCTTCTTCCTTTTCACGTAAAGTTACATCCAAGTTTCTGAAATGTGACCAAGAAATATAATAGGTGCATTTCAGATTTATACTGCAGCACATGCCCCAGTAAAATATGTCTGAGAAAAATGGGTCTTGACAACCCCTACGAAGCTTATAATTTGTGCAACTGAGCTGCCATATCAGTATTTATAAATGCATCGTATACCCAACTTTTTATCATCTCAGTACCAGAATCAGCATAATGAAACGTTGTTTATGCAACTGAATGACTGACAGTGATGTTGTTCTCCAAACCCACCAGAAAATTCACGTTTCCACAAACCTGAGGGAGATTCTTGCAAAGGTAGGAAGCACTTTTGTGCATCTATTGAAGATGATAGATTTTAAAATGTACTAACATATAGCAAGTTACTTTTATTAAAAAAAGAAAAAAGAAAGGAGAGCAGAAATGTGGAGCTGACTTTAATAAAAGCCTTAAGTGCTTTAAGATTTTCATCTTTTGAAAATATTTAAATATTAACCAACAACATGATGAAACTTAATATATTAAATAGACCGTAATAGTTCTTTCTATATCTTTAATCTTAATTTAAAGGCTCAAGTATATTATGGCTGTATACAAATTATATTTAGTAGATGCTAAAAATGACACAGTCGTAAAGGTTACAGACACATGACTTAATGGAACTAAGCTGTAAAATTTCAAGTCTTATTCTAGCTTTTTCCAAGAAGGAGGAGCAAAGTAGAAGAACGCCTTTTAGTTTAGTATCAAAGTTGAGGTAAAGGTGACAAAGGACTGTGAGCATAGGTTGCAGCTGCTATGATTAGGTGGCATAGAAAAAGATAAATAAGATGGTAGAAGGCCAAGGATGGATCTGTAAAATAAATGATACCAATGATATATCTGAATGTGGACAATGATAGCGAGTTAACCTGAGGGTGCAGAGTGCTGTGGTGAGTAAGGGATTTATGGTAAAGTGTCCATCATTTTTAAAGAGGTACCAGGATCATATCAATGTCACTAATAGTCAAAAAGAAGTAAACAGACGGCAGCAACAAGCAGTTTTTTTCTTCTATTTTTAATTTTTATTCTTTTGGTTTTGGTTGCTTCCTTCTTCAGAGGTCGCCAAAGCAAATTAACTCGCATGAAGATTTGACAATTGTTTTTATGACGGATGTCCTTCCTGACAAAAACACAGACCAAGCTACCACAGCCCTTTGTGTGGAACAGAAAGCTACCATCTAGGGTGTCTGGGAGAGCAGATGGTGAGGGTTAAGGGTCTTGCTCAAGGGTTGTCAGTCTGGGGGATTGAACCAGCGACCTTCCAATAACAGGCGTACCTTCTCCAACCTCTGTGCCACCACTCCCCTATGGCAACAGCAATCTGTTTATTCAATTTAAATGATAAAACATGATTTGTTTCTGCAAAAGGAACCCCAGTTTAATTGTATTTTTTTAAATATAAGTTGTTCAATATGGGACTTATTATTTAAATTACAATACCAAAATATTTGTAGAAAGACACAAAGAATAACTTTCAATACTGAACATATTGTAATTAGATTTGGCTAAATCAGATTTATGACTTGGACTGTCCTAAGATGACTTTTGTGCATTTGTGTCATTCATATAAACAAGCTGAGGTGAACTGAAGTGAAAACAGTGAAATAAGCTAAAGCTAGTGACATGTCTGCATACAATCAAGTCTTCAGTTCATTTGGATAGTTGATACACAGCCTGGTGTATCTTTAAACATTGCAGAGGAACTTTGATGAAACTCGGTAAAAATACAAAACGCTGGAAACTGAAGTCATAAATTACAACAATGAGAATTTTAAACTATGTAGACGCAAGACCAAAACATCAGACAAAAGTATGTCATTTCAGTGGCTGCACTTCCAATTTAGAGACTAGAAACTCAAACACCAAAATGTTTTCTCTTCAGTGTTCCATCCCACTGTAGATTTTTGAACCCGTGCAGTTTCCACGATAGTAATGCTTTGTAGGTATTCCCGTTTCTGTTGTGCATTACAAAATTGTCTTACCTGCTGCATTTTTGCTCTCTGTGCGATCTTCTGATTCAGAGTTTTGATACTTCGTCTCAGCTTCGTTTTCTTTACTATCTGTAGCGCCGAGAACTCGAGCCAGGACGTTGGAAACAGCTGGAGCAGGCTGGCTTGTTTTGGTCTGGACATTAAAAGTTGATTTACTCACAACTGGTGTTGAAATGTTCCTCTGGATCTGCAACACAAGAAAGGAAGAAAAGAAAATGCACGATGTGGATTTGTAAAATTTGCTTATTAATTTATAAGGATATGCTGTAGATCAAACTGTATGTCTGAGGTTGATAGAAACTTGCCTTATCCAGCGCGTTGCATGGAACAGATTTCGGCGTCAGAGGCTTCGGTTCAGGCACAAAACATGAACCAGATGCCCCAGGTGGTACAAATCGAGGTTTTTTCATTGCATTGCCAAAAAGTTGACTGGGAGCTCCTGAGCGCCGCATTCTTCAGGTGGGAACGAAAAATTTATTTGACCTAAAAGAAAGAGAAAAGAATATCTGCTCAGTTTTATCGCTCACAATAATACAGTCCTTGTGTAATCAGAAAAGTTTGAAACAAGTGAGAAATACACAAAAAAAAAGTGGAAACACCTTTCTCTGTTCAAAAATTATTTAGTATATTCAGTACTTTAACAACTTATCAAATACTATTTTTGAATCTTAAACATGCTAGAGAAACACTGATTATTTGCATGTTTTATGAATTGCATGTTTGTGATAAGATTAATTTATCCTAGATGTGTCCAGTTTCATTACTTTTTGTCTGTCTAAACAGATCTCCCTTGTAAATGAGTCTTCTAGGCTCAATGTGACTTATCTGTCTAAATAAAGGTTGAATGAATGAAAAATGTATTTATATGAGCAAGCAATAAAGCAGCATCTAGAATAGAGTATGACAACACGATAAAGGGCTATTCCACAGAATTTTTGTCTACATTATCTTAGATCTGCTCTGGTTTAAGAAAGAAAAAGCAGCTAATGTTCAAACCTGAACTGTGTCATCTTACACTAAAGGCACATTCTTTAAAACAGTTTGTGATTCGTGAAATTTTTATTCTGCCTGAAAAAGTTCAAGGATGCAAATTTTTGTGCTGTTTTTTTGCATCTACACACTGCTGTTAAATGTTTCGCAAACCACACTTTATGTCTTAAAGAATCTGCTTTTAGTAAAAAATAATTGAGACTAGGTTAGAACAGTCTTAATGATTAAGAACCGATTCGCCTTTCTTGAACTTTCACAAATAGTGCAAAGGTTTCACAAATCACTGTTTTTAGACAATCAAATTCAGCCTTTAATTGCCTGAGAATTGTAGTTTTTGTTTTTACTAGAGCTGATCATAAGATGTACCAGATACTGAAGTCAAACCTTAGGTGCTAAACACAGGAAGCTGGTTTAGTCCAACTTCCGGTATTTTGGCTAGCAAGTTAGCAAACTACATGATCAAAATAAACCCCCAAAAAGTCCATGCTCAATAACTACAACTAACAAACTACATGATGTTAACAAGACGCTGCAGAGCCAACGCTGTCAAAACTCAGACGTTTTATTCAGTTAGACTACATGCCATACATACCAAGACGAGCTGAACGTTTCATAAAATCGTTTTAATTCCCAACCTCGAACAAACTCAACAAATTTCTCCTTTCGTTTCCGTTTCTCCCGCTGAACGATTTAAAAGAACCTGATTGGTTGACTCCCATTGAAAGGCGTGGCCAAATGAAATTGGGTGCGTTTGATTTTAACGTCACTGTAATTTACTCCTTGGTTCTGGTTTACACACACTACGATTTAAATGACCCTCTTAAACGCCACCAAGCCGTCAACCCCCGAGATACAAAATGAGCTCGCCTAAGGGTGGAGAATGTGTAAAGCTAGTATTTTCGCTAGCCTGTAATCCAGTCTATAGTAAAAACATTACATTTTCAACATGTACTTTGGCATAATTTACTCGTACTATTCTAAATTAACTTAACCAGATTTCAGTAATATAACTATTCCAAAACACTTAAAGGTACAGTAACATTATTTTTATTTTAAGCAAATATGTTCGGATTGTGATATTAGGTGCATTATGAGTTGTCAGTGTTTTGTTTTGCATATATAAAGGGATAGTTTGGGTACTGAGCTCTTTTGGAGAGAAGATTTTTCGGCTTTTACTTTAAATACTTAAAAGAGGGTGATCTCTGGTTCTCATGTTGTCAGTTCTTTAATCCAATCAGGGAGAGAGAGTGTAAAATCCATGGTAATCCATCAAGAGACCAACACAGAGGGAGAAACCTCAGACACACCTGCTCATTAAGGAGCAACAGGAACAGTGATGCTCCGTCACAACACAGCTTTATTTCCTGAGCTGAAAGTGAGACAAACTACAGTCTTTTTTTAAATTTAGTTTCCTCTTCTGTCATTCTGTCTGGTCAGATCTGATCCCGTCTGACAGCTGCCTGGCTTGTATCCTGATTCCCTGTTGTCAGGGAAACCTCTCCATGGAGACCCACTCGAATGTTAGGGGAGGGTTTTACAGGAGACGAGACCCTCACCTGGATGGAGCGAAAGGAGAGGATGAGGAGGGAAGGATGGCAGCAGGAAAGCTGACAGACAAGAGTACTTGTTGAGGAACAAGAGAGGTCAAAAATTCACAAAACAACAGAAGAAGAGTTGGGTGAAGTTAACTTTTCGTGTGTGTTGTCAGCGATTCAACAGTTTGGCAGAAACAAGCTAAGATTTCTTGATGCTGTAGAACTTGCACAATCTTGTAGGATGGGCTACGATCTGGAGAGGTTTGTGGGTTATGTGAATGAGGGTCTGCTCTGCTGTGTGTGTCGAGACGTGCTGGAACGCCCTCTCCAGGCTCCCTGTGAGCACGCCTACTGCAGCGCCTGCATCAGTAGCTGGCTGCTCCATCACCACTCCTGCCCTGAAGACAGACTCCCGCTGGACGTGAGCAGCCTCAAACCCCTCTACAGGTCTGTCTGCACCTCTGGTTTCTTATCACTTTCAACCACAAATCGTAAACCTTGAGTGTTTTGATGTGCAGGTACATGCGCAATGACCTGAACCGCCTGCAGCTCCGTTGTGTGAACGCTGAGCAGGGATGCGAGGTGGTTTGCACCCTGGAGAGCCTCCACACACACGAGGACGAGTGCGAGTTTGCCTTCATCTCCTGCTCTAACACAAGTAAGAAAACCACTCACTGATCGAAACTTATCTCAAGTTGTTTCATTTCTTCTCATCACACTCATGGTAAACTTAAATGGCCATCCTTGTGGATGTGTAATAAACAAAGGTAACTAGACACCTGCAGATGAACAACAGGTGGCTCATCTGTAGCCATGGCTACCTTGCAACATGTGCACATACAGTCTATGGCAATACTGCCCCCACCCCCCGAGACCTACAAAGTAGACAAATCCATAAAGCTTTAACAAGTGGTTTATAAGCCTGAATGCATGAGCAATCTGTGAATGTGTTCTCATCATGTGACTAACCTGTCATTGTCAGGTGGAGAGTACATATGTTACAGCTGTGGTAGGTACTGTGTGAACGTGCTGTGGCTTTTTGCAGCGTGAAGCTGGACGGCCTGTCTGACTGCTGTGATCTGTGAGACGTTTACTGATCGTGTATAAAAAACGATGCATGGTTGATGAGTGAAGAGCTACTAAAAGTATCCTACTCTTATTACAGTTAAATGCCTTTTAAAATAGTTTCATTTGTATATTCATTAGTAGAAATGGTAGCAGATAAATTAATATCAAATGCTGAAATTAGCATTTTTGCTTTTACTTTTTCAATTTAACAAATTTAAATTGGCTGAAATGTCCACGTATTGAATGTGTTGCATGTTTCAGAAGGGGACAGATCTCTTTTTAACATGAAATATTTTGCAACTCAGTATAAAATTTATTTTTTATTCTGCATTTGACCTTTTTACATAGCTACTTTAAAGATTTTCTATCAAAGTATTTGCTTTACACACCTTTTCCAATCAGTTGTGTCCCACGTACAGTGTAATTGAAATATGCAACTTTTTTCCTAACTTAAATTTCTGGAGTTTTTGACTTTCTATGTTTGATTTAACTTTTGATGTCTTGTTATATTTTGCCGTCTTGTTGCACATATTTTTCAAGACAGGTGTGTGTTCTACTTCTTAAGTCTTTTTTGGTGTTTTATGAAAAAGTAGTAACACTTCTTACAGAAATCACATTTTGATCAGCTTGAAAACAAGTGGCCATACGTTAAAATTTGTAAACATATTTGTGAGGTTTTACATTTTATGTGGGTTAAAAAATGCACAGACGCTCAAATAAAGACTTGATGAGAAAACAAAAGCAGACTTATTTTCAAGGTTTTAAAGTTATAAGATTTGCACTTCCTGCTTTTTATGTAACTATATTCCTCTAAATGATCTTCATATTTGAAGTCAAGCCTGAAAACCTCTAATATGGAAAGTGGCTTTGTTACATACTGCACATATTTTCACATATCTGAATCGGGGGCTTCAGGTTAGGTTGTTGTGACTCTGCTCTCCCAGGTTGTCCCGTGCAGGTAGAGAGGCGGGGCTTGGAGGCTCACCTGTCAGAATGTCATTTCCGCAGCAGAGAGTGTCCCAACGGCTGCGGCCACGCGCTCCACTCCGTCGACCGGTTGCAGCACAACTGTGTAGCAGAGCTGCGTGCAGAGGTGGAGATGATGAGGTGAGTCGCGACCGTCACGAACATTCCTCGTGAGTCTGAATTCAGGGTTTGAACTTCTGCTCATCACTTTGATCACGTTCGCCGCAGGGCAGAGATGCTGTGTAAGGTGGAGGAGGTGAGGCGAGAGATGGAGTCTCGGCTGGACTCGCAGAGGAGACACATGGTGCAGAAAGAGTCGCAGCTGAAGAACGAGGTGGAGGAGCTCAAGGTGATCAACCAAGAGCAGCAATAAACCACCCATTTAGTTTAATAACACAGTTTACACGTCTACACATATGAAGTGTTCAAGACCACCCTTTGTTTCTCAAATCTTTTTAATTGTTTTGTGTTGATTTAAAGTGGTCTTGATCAACAGTTTTTTTTCTTTAAACTTTAAATATTTTTCAACTTATTTTCTATCCAGTCCTTGTATCTGACCCTGACAATACATCATGAGTCAAAGTGGACAAGTGGAGGACCAAAGACAAAATGTCAGACCTAAAAACAGCAGAACAGTTTCTGAAAGTCACTTAGTAGATGACAAGAACAAAGCTCAGTTTTTGAAGTGATTCTTTTAGAAACTGAATGATTTTAAACATCTGATGTGTTGGTTCATGTTTCTGTTCGGTGCAGGCTCAGTTATCCCGTGTGATGTGTGACATGCGAGCCCTGTTGGGAGCAGAGCGTCTGAGGAGGCAGGAGCTGGCAGAAGCTGAACTCGAGAAGAGAGAGCTGTTGGAGCTCCTCAGAGACCTTCAGCCCACCAGGAATCAGCATCCTGCTGAGCAGCCAGCCAGGGATCATCTTCAGGGGGACCGGCAGACATCAGGTTGGGAAGTGCACACCGAGCGGGCACGGCTCCAGCAGAGGGAGGCTTCGTTCCACGCCTCCTGTCTGTCGCTGCACTCAGCTCAGCCCACATGTGCCCAAGGCCTGTCCCCGTCGCCTCAGCTGGGAGACGGGATTCGCAAGAGCAGCACTCGGAGTCTGACTCTGGACCGCACCACGAGGAAGAGCCGGGAGGTGACAGTCATCTGAACTCAGTCTACAACAAATTGTTGATGTAAACAAAAATGTTTTTTTGATAAAGCTTATTTTGTGCTTTAAAATCAGGTCAGTGTCATTATAAGATGGGAAACCAGACTGCTGAAACAGAAAACAGGTTTAAGGCTCAGTTCACTGTTCCCCCCCCCCCTCCCCCCTAATCAGGTTTCTGTTAAAAATGGTTAATTTTGTGATTTGATGTTGCTGCTTGTTCTGCTTCTTACACAAAATGGAATTGTTTGTTGAAATATCCTCCAATGTTCTGAAAGATCGTGGCATGACAAAACTATTTATATATTTCCGTAGTTTCTAATTCCTAACAGCTTTTAGAGGGTAGTTTTTCTGTTTTCTGAGAACATACGTGTCAAATACACATTTTCAAAAAAAAGTTGTTTTTTTTTGTACTTGTAATTAAATGTACTGGTAATTATATTCAGAACTAACTTTTGTCCATTTCTAAAAGAACAGAGTGTTTAGTCATTTTTTATCTTTTTTGTGTAAAATTTGAACAGACCAACAATTTTCAGTCAGGTCATCTGGACAGTTTCTGTTTTTTGCTGAAACATTTCACCTTCCACCCGGAAGGCTTCATCAATCAAGGAAACACACAACACAAAACTGATTTTTCCCCCAAACAGCTTACTTCAAAGTGGAACAAACCAGTTATGTTGGTGCTAAGATGGTGTCTTTGTCACGTCCCCTCTTCTTGTGCTAGCCCTCTTCCTCGTCGGCAGTCATGTCAAACTGGTTCAAAATCAAAGTCCATGCTCAATAATCCAGGTATACAATCCAACAATTTTCAGTCAGGTCATCTGGACAGTTTCTTTTTTTTGCTGAAACGTTTCACCTTCCATTTGGAATTTGAACAGACTTATGAAAAATGGGTGCTGATCTGATTTATATTTTTAGTTTGGGACTCAACATTTTACCAGTAAAGTATCACATTTGGCATTTAAATACACACACTCAGTTACTACTACCTTTATTCTATGAATACAGCTCATAACAAAACCAAAAAACAAACAAAGTAACTATGTTTCCATGGAGACGGCAAATACAAATTCTGATTGGTCCATTTGTAATCATGAGAGGCTGCGGTCACTGCCCAGCTGAATTTACCTGGTGAAGGAGCGCACATGTCTGCCCCTCCCACCTCCACTCCCACCCCCACCACTGAATTTGCTCCCCTGAGATCCTCTTCCTCCTCCGACACCGCTGGCGCCTCCTCCCCCACCGAGCCACGACAGCCCCGTCCCTCCTCTGCCCCGTGGCACTCGATCGCGAATCGCCAATCGATAGGCGCCTGTGGAGGGAAAAGACACTACATCTTTAGTTTAGTGTGTTTAGTTTGTGACGCGAACTGGATAAATGTGTGTGAATATGAACTCGACATACTTGCAGGAAGCTGTCGGGAGGGCAGAGGGCCTCGCGCAAAGTTGCTCTGACCTCCGCGAGGTTCACTGTAGGTTCCTCTGTGAGTGACAGCGGGAACTTGGCCGCTCCACAAAGACCCACGGCCTCCCTCTCTTCGAGCATAGTTCCCTAGAACCAAAAATTATTATTTGTCACCCTCTCCTGGCCCAATAAGAACGCACAAGAATAAAAAAAATATTAGATAAATATGACAATTTTTTTTAAAGAACTGTACGTACCTGACAGCAAAACACCTTTAGGTTGTGGTGGAGTGAAAAAGCGAGTCTGGCTGTGAAAGGCGGCTCGGCCTCTGTTACCAGTGAACAGACCTCTAGTGGGGGGCTTTGGGATACTTTTTGGGAGACGTTTTGGGGGCATAATTCCAAGAGGGTTCACAACGTCTTTAAACTCTGCTGCAACAAAGTCATCCACATGCATGCTGGGAGGACGGGAAGTATTCTGTTTACGCAGGCGGAAAATATCATGAGGACGCGACAGGTTCTGGCCGAACCCTCCTCGGCCTCCACGGCCACGAGGAGCTGGAAGGATGTGGGCTCTCTTAGCAGGTTCGGTGTAGTCAGATTTACCACTAAGGAGGAAAATACGGGATAATCTTTAATGAATTAATTTGAACCAGGATGTTGCAATAAATCTGTGAGGTTCCGTTGAAGCTGTACCTAGATGTAATAAATGTCTCGTGTTTGTGTTTGCCCAGTCGAAAACCTTTAGAAGCCTTGGTGTCACCAGGAGACGATGGCTCAGATAGAAAGGAGCGCTCCAGCTCTGCCTTCAGGTCCAGTTCTGGACAACATTCCTGAGCCAGTCCCAGTAGATCTACCTTCACCTGGCACAAAGACGGAGAGGCAAATATGTGTCATTTTTGATTCCTTATAAAGTCAAAAAAGAAAGAGAAACAAGTTGCACTCAGTTCAGTCTGCAGCTCAAGATATCTTTATTCCTAGTAGATCAGTTTTTATGCTTGTTTTTACGCTGTTGAGCCATGACAAAAACAATGCACTAACTACTGATTTAATTTTAAAGCTTTTGCAGAAGGGACGTGGCAAAAATGAGTTGTCTTATGTACTGTGCTCTGACAAACTAGTGCATGAAAAAAATCAGTATACAAGTTAATTCTATCAGCAATAAAAGGTTTACATTTGTGATAAAGAATTAGGATGATATTTCCTGCTACAGCAGCAGTGCATCTTTAATTTTTACAGAAAGGTACTTACTGTGTCGAGGTCTGATTCGATATCATCCGTCTGGAAGGGTGAAAACCAGAGTGCTTTAAGGTGCTCATCTAATGCTTCTGACAGAATGAACACCGTCCTGCAAATAACATTACACAGCTTGATTTCTAATGCAGCTCATTTCAGTTCACATAGATCCAAGTTTAACTTCAGCCTTTAAGCTTTAAGAGCTACTGTAACATTTACAATAGCTGCACTGGAAACAGATTTAAAACGTGAGGACTAGAGATTATAAAATAAATAAAAGCATTGACTCTTCTGGTGACCTGTGATTAAACTGAGCTGCAAGGGTTTCAGGTGCTGGTAGAACGGGCTCGGTTTCTGCTGTAGGCGGTGCCTCTGTGGACCCTTCCAACATCTGCCTCAGAACGACCACGCTTTCCAACACGGTTTCCAAAGAGTCATCATCTTTACATAATTTCTACAGACAACACAAAGTAAGTTAAATGCTAAGGCAGCATCAGCCCATAGTCTTTATAACAAAGTGTAGAGGTGTGTATCATTTGTACCATTAGTTGCTTCTCTAAAGCAGAAAGCGGATGGGACTCCGAGTCCTCCCATCGCAGCAGAGTTTTCATCTCTGAACTCGACAGAAAATGTAGAGGACCACAGGTAGGTTCCTCACGGGACACCTGACCATCTTCTGCGCACTGGAAACAAAAAAAGCAAGATTTACAAACAAGTCTTACTCTTGCCTGAGAGAAGGAGTAAAAACCTTGAAAAAAATAAATCTTATTACAACTGAAAAAAAAGAAACTGATAAAATCTCATTTTTCCTCTTTATGCAAAGCAGGTGATTTTTAAGAGTGGAAGTGACTAATGACATGAAAACTACAGCAGAGCTCCATTTTAATGGCTGCTTCTGGCAGCAAATCTCTGAAGAAATAAAAATCAAACCGTACATACAAATCAGGAGAATATGGAAGAGTCTTAAAGGCGAATAGTCAAATCTTTACAAAACTATCATGAAAGCAAGTATTCGTACTGGGATTCATTTGTTAAATTTAAAAAAATCATGAATGTCTAGAAGTTTTGAATAAAAGCTATCAGGCAAATACATAAGAGAAAAATTAAAAGACAAATTTTTTTCATTTTCATTTAGCCTTTATTTATCCAGGTTAGTCTCATTGAGCCATGAGAACTCATTTTCAAGAGAGACCTGTTTAGGGAGCACATGGTGGGGGTTAAGGGCCTTGCTCATGGGCCCAGAGTGGGGCGAATGAGGGTGGGGGCAAGTGTGGGTGTTTCACCTACCCCACCCACAATTTTGATGTTGTCGGGGCCGGGGCGTGAACCGGCGATCTTCGGATCACAAGCCCACCTCTCTAACCTCTGCGCCACCACTCCCCAAATTGATCAAATACATCCTCTAACCTTCTGTTCTGCTTAGAAATTTACATTTTACATATGTTTTATCGGTTTTTCTATTAACCATTTTTTTTTTTTTTTTTTTTTTGGAGCTCAGTATGTTTTATTTCCTCTTCATGTTGTTTGATTCAACTGTTCTTTTCTACAATTGCACATAAAGTATATCTCTGTGATAGAATCCTTTACTTTTTTTCAAATTTGCAATTTTATTTGTTGTTATTTGCAGTCAGTATGTATACAAACTGCACTCACCCCTGTGTCTGTGTGGATAATCTGCCTGAGAAAGTCGAGCAGAGCTGACAGCAGATCTGTCGAATCTTTGCTGAAAGAAACTACCAGCCTCTTCAGCAGCGAGCACAGTTCTGAACCATGCTTCCGCAAAGCGCTGAAACAAAAAACAAACTGTTGCTTACATCCTGAAATTAAGAAAAGGGATAAACTTGAAGAAAAACTTAAAAGCACACAAGTGCATTTACATTTTGAAGTAGTAGAATCCATAGTCATGCTCTGTGAGGAATGTTAAAGTCCTGATGGAGGTGAGGAGGAGGGGGATACTGCCCTCTTTATTCCCTAAAACTTCCAGCAGAGAGTTGCACACTGAAGATAGCATATCTCGACCAGGAAGTGCGTTGGCCAGCTGTTCAGACTCCGACACACAGCTGTCACCAGGCGGAGGCACCACAAGGGATATGTCCTGATGGATACAAAGCATTTTAAAGCCTCCAGTTCCTTTATTTTGCTTAAAGAGCTCTGCAGATCTTACCTGATCACATAGTGACTGTAATATTGTTCCCACCAGAACGCTGCATTGCTGCTGTTGCAGGGAGTGATCGGATGGAGGAACCAACAAGGACAGAAGCAAAGGGAACAGATCTGCCAGCTGCTCGTCTCCAGAAACGGAACCAGACAGCAGGTGCAGTGTTGCGCTCTTACAAGCCCTTTGTGATGCCAGAGCATCCATCAAGGACAGCAGGCGTAAAACCTGGCCCCAGCACACACTTTTTCCCTCCGCTCTGCAGACAGTAGACAGAATCCCTTTAAAAGGCAGTTCACAGCAAAAACAAAAACCCTACAGTGGTGATGTGTGGCTCACTCACGGCTGCAGCTCCTCCAGCAGCAGCTCCGACACAGCCTTCATGACGAGAGTGGCTGTGATTGAAGACAGGTCGGCCAGCTGAACACACACTCTCCTCAGCATGGTCAGGAGAGGGGGACAGCTGGTGGAGCACACGCAACTCAGCACCTCGGAAAGCACATTCCACTGTACCCGTATGTGCATGCTCCACAACTTCCTGGTGTTTAAAGCTATAGCCACATCTTGGACTGACAGCACCTGTGAAGCAGACGTTCAAAACATTAGTGTGCATGAGAAGGCAAGGTTAATGAGGAGTTGAGAAGGAGAACACCAATAGGTTATTGAGTTACCTGAGTGCTTTGCACCGGCAGTGGAAGAGGCAGGAGCTCAGAGAGCAGTGTCAGGCCAGAGAACAGACCTTCAGGAGCTTTTAGCAGTGAACTTAAGACTTCCTTTAGCATCAGGGACCATGTGTTACTGGCTAAAGTCTCTTCGGTGTGAGTGACCTGCAGCAGACATGAACAAAGTCTCACCGTCACGACGTAGAGAAACATATTTAGCTTCACAATAACAATAAACACACGAGCAGTCATGCACCTCTTCGCTGACGCCCTGTGTGAAGGTGAGCAGCACATCCACGATTAGCGCCTGCACTCTGGTCTCCTCCCCGTCTAGACGTCCTGATGCAGGAATGGAGCACACAATCATGTGGAGCGTCACCAAAACATTAGCCACTCGCGTGTCTCTGAACTGGAAGGCGCCCCCAGAGAGCAGCTCAGTCAGCATGGTGCGCAAGAGCCTGAGGGTGCCAATACATATGCTGAGAATCATGCAGCGCTGCGGCGTCGGGCCCATGTGTCCATGCGCACGCCATGGCTGCAGTAACACGCTGCACAACTTCTGCAGGACACGCACACACGTATCCAGACCCTCCCCGGAGAACAGCTGGACACCTGCAAGGCTCCACTTCAGATCCCTCTGCTGGCCTGCAGAGATAAAAAAAAAAACATTGCAGGAGAAGGAATTTCTACCAAATAAATCCAAACTAAAATCATAAAATAAACACAAGACTTCTTTTTAATTTTTTTTTACCTTCAACAGGAGGTGGACAGGCGATGTGATTGAGGACCCTCAGAGCCGTGACCAGCCCAGATCCATCAGCATTCAACACATTTTCCACATTCTGACACACACAAAAAAAACATTTAAAATTATTATACTATAATAACAATATTATTATTGTATTGTATATTGATGTTTTTTTTCCCTTTTGCTCGTGTGTGGTTGTTGTTTTTGTATATTTCTATTTTGTGGGAAATCCATGGAAGATTGAAAGGAGAGACATAAGAAGCTTTTGACTTCTGCCTATTTCTTCTTGATCATATAGGTTTGATGATTTATTTGTCTGAAACTGTTCTTTTGATATAATCAAAAATAAGCCATTCATTCATTTGTTCGTTCATCCATTCATTCTGTTAAAACTATTTATTTCCCTTCCCAATTAACAGATAATTCCAACACTTTGCAAACCCCCCGTTTGGATCTGTAAGCCACAGATTTAAGAAATAATTCACACTAATGCAAGATGTGAAGTTTATAAAAGCAAATGGACGTTCTCATACAGTAGTTAAAAAAAGACTTATGGATTTCTGTGACAAGGTCATCAAACTGAGTCACCGAGTTCTTAGAAAAACACAAAATCAAGGTCATTCAAGGTACTTTTTGACCAACGACACAGAACTTAAAAACACTGGGACTATTTTCAAGGAACTAAAAAGCATTTAAGATTTTTATTAAGATTTATTTTTTTAAGTAAATAAGTGACTGGACCAGTCTGGACATCATTACTTTTGTATAAAAAGCAGGAGTACTCACACATGCTCAGAAGTAAAAGCGTAGGGTAATGACAGCTGAAACCCATCAGATCCAATCGGACATTTCAGACTTTTATTTTTATTACAATTTTTTTTAAAAGAGGGTTTTTGTCTGGAATATGTTAAAACCGTGTGGTGAGAATAACATTAAATGCATTCTATAAAATCTAAGATGAGTCTGAAGAAACAAAGAATGAAAAACTTGAGATTAGGAGGCTTTGTGTTCCAGTACTGAATCATGTGTGGGCTCTAAGAACAACGCACGTGTTTATTGTTCAAGAACGGTTAAAGGCAGCTGTCTGCTTTCATCTTTGTGTTGGCTTCAAAGTTATGGGTCACCATGTCAGCTGACCTGCTTGTAGACAATGACAACATGGTGCGATTTTCATCTGGTACTGACGTTATAGAAATAACAGCAAAGTGAAGGGGGGGATGGATAAGGTGAGCTTAAATGCTCCATAATGATCCAACACACAAATCGACTGCGGGTCGACTTTTATTACCTGCAGGTAATACGTGAATATTAAAAGGTCACTGCTCACTAAAACTGAACATAATCTCTACTTGAGCCAGATGCGCATTAACAGATCTGTACCTGCTTAACGTAGTTGATGAGGGTAGGAATGCTGCCAATCTCAAAGCGGAGTTTGTCCAGAGGTTCCAGCCATTTACTGAGCTCTGAAAAACAAACAAATATGAAAAGCTTTCTCCTACAGCATGACAATGATAGAACACTGGAGATATTTACCCTGCAACTTGGCATTAGTGTCATCTGCTTTAGCTACAGAGAGCAGCGGAGCAGCGTATTGCTCCATCATCCGCAGTTCATTAGAAGTCTGAACCACCATTAGGACTAGCATACAAGCATAGTTATATGTCACTGCTTTACGAGATTTGCCCTCACTGAAAAGGGGAAAAAATAGTTAGATTATAATGAAAAGAAACCGCAGGAAGATAAACAAGCAGAAAGGAGACAGTTGTACCCTTGTGCGTCCTTGCTGTGATGCTGGAGGAGAGTGACCAGACAGGACAGGTTGTTCTCCAGGCTCAAAACGTGGGCCACAGCACTGCGGCCTGTCTGTGTGAAGGTCATTAGGTAAAGTGCATGGAGCAGGCCCAGAACCTCTGGGTTATCGCCTTCCTCGAGTCCTGCGCCACCCTCTCCTCCAGCTGCCACATGGCTCATGAGTTCTGACACACCCTGCAGAGCATGCAGTGCCTGTATCAGCCAGACACAAAAACCTTCCTCCCCAAAGCCGGGCCCCACAAGCCCTCCTTCTCCTCCTGTTAATGTGCTGTCCTCGCTCTCAGGGTCTGTCACTGATGCCAAGAGACGCAGCAGGAGGTTGGTGGGTGTAGCCTGGGCCAGAAGGAAGAGTAGACTGGACTGGGTGAGCGATAGGAAGCGAAGGAGCTCTTTGACCGCTTGGGTTACGCAGACGTGCCCCGCTGCAGCAGCCGCCGACAGCACCACAGTGGTGCTCTCTAAGAAATGGCATGTGTGCATATACCTGACAAAAAAAACTCAATCAGTGAGTCGGAACTACAATCTGAGCTTCAACTTTATGAAATCTGAGATCATCTTCTCTGCACGAGCACCTATATAATGTTGGGTAAGGGTTATCCCTCTCCTGTGGTCCCGTTATTCTGGCAGTAGTGGGGAAGGCTTTTCCGGGAGGTTGCACCATGCTGTGAGGAGCACTTTCCAACAGGTGAAGAAGCTCCTCCAAAACCTCTGCAAGCCTATCAAGCTCAGCCTCACTTACAGGAGTGGAGCTTAGCGAGGGTTCCTCCTCCATGGAGCTCTCAGTTTCTTCCAACTCCTCCTGAGAACAAGGGTCAGTTGTAATTAAATAAACTCAGTTTAGTTCCAATAGGATTATGAACTTTTAAATGTGTTGGTTACAAGTAAATCTAAGAGTTTTTGGTTGTAAATTCAGTTGTTTGATTTTTTTTTTTAGATAATACTGAAGTTCAGCTCTAACAGTAACCACACTACCCAAATACCAGTGTCCAATTAGAGGTCTTTTAGTGTCCCCAACACCACTTAATGTCCTAAAAGTGAAGGTAAACAAAAAATATACAACGAAAAAGGTTGAATCATTTCATCTGGACCAGTTTCTTTAAGTGGGAAATGTTTCGTCCCCCAGCCAGAGGACTTCCTCAGTCTACAGCCTGCCAACCAGATCTGTCCCATATGTAGCCTTCACTGCTGTGTTTCAAGCCAACCTCAGGTTGGAATCTCAAAGGTATTCATGCAAAATCATCATGTACAACAATCAAATGTTTTAGGCCAGATGGTTAACTTTCTACTCACAGAAACTGCCTGAGGAGAACCAAGGCCAAAGTGGTTCAGTTTTGGAGATTCCAACAGGAGGTTGGCTGGAAACACAGCAGTGAAGGCTACCTATGGGACAGATCTAGATGGCAGGCCGTAGACTGAGGAAGTCCTCTGGTTGGGGGACGAAACATTTCTCACTCAAAGAAACGTGTTCAGATGACACGATTTAACCTTTTTTGTTGTTATCTATCTGGATGATTGAGCCTACAACACTTTAAAAAATATATAAACGTTGATAACTTGGTTAGTGCTGGGCTATAAGAGCTACCCATTTATGCTTGCTAATATCTTACCAACCTGAACTGAATAATTCTAACATATTAAAAAATATACTCATCTTTCAGGACCAGCACCAGAATTTAAAGCAACAAATGATCTGCTTCCCAATTAGACAGTTGATGTATGATTGAAACAGTACTTTACGACGTTATTAAAAAGGGCCAAGCTTTGTTCTTATAAATTTGCTAAGTGAGAGAACTGCTAGTTTTACACAGCTCTGATATTTATCTATAACGTTCTACTTTTTTTTATTGCTTTTACTTAACTTGCTAACTTTTAAAAACACAAACTGTTTTCAAAACATACACAAACCTATTTTTTAAGTAGAATTTTGTCAAAATGTCTCATAAAAATTTAAATGGCTAAAGCATCCAGGTTTACGGTTTTTCTTTACAGACTAATTAAAAGCTCAAGTTGTGTAATGACACAACCCTTGTAAATTACAAGAGGCAATTAAAATGATCAGTGTCGCCTCTTTAAGCTAAAACTAATCAAGGATTAAAATCTGTTGGAAATCACTGTAATTGCTTTCATTTAATGAAAATTTGAATGGTACAAAAATGGCATATAGCCTGAATTAAAACGTCTAAGAAATTATATCTTCAAGAATGTTTACAGATTTTGACTCCAAATGATTCTCAATAAAATCCTGTCTTATGAGTCTGTGTGAGGGAACAGGACTGTGTGTGTGCCGTCACCTGCTGCGGTTCACTCCACGCTTCTGCCGCATGTCGCAGGTTGGTGAGCACTTCATACGTGTGGCTTTTTTGTAATATGGCGTTTCCAGCTGTTATAACCCGGACTGTTTCTTCACGCAGGAACATCTGGACTAAACGCTGCGAAGCACATCAAGCTTAGAGTCATGCATTAAAAAAACAAAAACACTTCCTATTTATGAACTAGACTTTTTTTTTGGTTGTTCTTGAAAATATAAAATATGAGTGGTCAGCCTTTATTTTTTTTTACCATCACTGACTTTGTTTTGTATTTAAACTGTAAGAAATGAAAAATGCCAAACCATCTTTCACGGAACTCTTCACTGAAAGATTTTAGAAAAAAATAATGATATTAATAATAAGCTGTGTTGTTTACCTGGTAGCCACTTTTCTCTGACCCTACTGCATGCAGGAAAGCTTCACATCCTGCAGGAGTGCTGATGAGAGCATCCAAAGCTCTAAGGATGCTTAGCTTCAAAGTGGAGGAGACGTGGTCAGCGTTGAGCAGCTCCAGCAGCACATTCAGGGACCCCTGATTTAGCAGCTCCGTGAGGCCCTGTGGACACTCGGCCAGGCACGACGCCAACTTTGCACCAGCTTTCAATTGTCTGAGATTAAGAGCGATGGGTTGAGTGAGAGCAACCTCCATACTTAAAGCTTGGAGAGCCCATCGAACTAAAACTCTAATAGGTTCCTCCGCCTCTGCCTGTCCTTGTTTAATTAAGTAAGCTAAGCCTTTGTTCAGTAGTCCAGGTGCCTCCTCCAGAGCAGTGACCCACTGAGCATCTCTGTCTTCACCAACACCAGCTAGTAGTTCTTTTAGCTGAGCAACAGCTTCACCCTCCTCTCCGCCTGCTGGTCCTTCTGTTCCACCAGCATCTCTGGGCTCTTCCACAGTGGCCTTCTCCAACTGGATATCAAAACGAGTCTTGTACGGAGAAGTGAAGTAAACCAGGGGTTTGAGTTCTCGTTCGTATGGATCGTACTGGACAGGTGGGACGGACGCAAGATCCTCAGGAGTGTAGTCCATGTCAAAGGTGGGCAGCTTGAAGCTCCCGTTGTCCAAGTCGTCCTCATCACTGGAAATCTGCTCATACCCATCGTCACCTGGCAGATTGACAAACAGCAAAAGTTTAACGTTTCTCAAATGTAAAAAAAAAGTAACTAAAATCTCTTCACACTTTGTAAGTTTAATAAATGTGTAGGAAATGACTGAGAATGTGGAGTGCAACAATAACTACTTTGTCCTTTTACGATACAAAAAAAAAGCACACTCACAAAGCTCTTTTTGGCCGTGGCACCAACACTCCAAGCATGCAGGGTTAGTTTTGGCATGCAGGAAGTGAGTCCAGCACACACTCGGGCATCAGTCAGGAAGACTTTCACATGACTGTACATGAAGGTTAACCAAACGCTATCACCATCGCACCATCTAGGATTTGCAGATGGACGCAGCATGCCTGAGCAAATACTCGAACAATTGCTCTGTCCCAAATGGACCCCACCTCGTAGCCCCACAACAAAATCTAACAACTTTATGTAGAGCTGAGTTTTTATACAATGGGGTCAGGACTGAGTGTCCATTTGGGATAACAGGTTATCCTTCTCCCACAGAACTCCCCTACCTTCCTCCATCTCCTCCTCCTCGTCCTCACCCTCATCTTCCTCTTCTTCTTCCTCCTCGTCCTCATGAACGCTCCCTTCAGTCCGTGTTTCTTCCTCCTCCTCACGCTCTTCCTCTTCTTCCTCAGCTTCTTCTTCTTGTTCGGCATCTGAGAACGTTTCCTCAACAGGCAGCGATCTTTCAGGTGACACAGCTTCCATGTAGTCGTCACGACCTCGGCTTGGCTCATCTTTGATCACGCCCACTGCAGAATGACCACCACAACGAACAAAAAGTGTAAATATAAATCTCTTTGTTTTCCTAATTACCACTAGGACAAAAAGAGAGATAAAACACAGTGCGTTTAATAGCATGTCAGCAAAACAGATGGGGCATTTCTTTTCTAAAAATGAACAGGACATAGTCAAAAACAAATAATTTTAAAATGCTGCAACTCTTCGCCTGTTTAAAACATTGTCATTACACATAGACTCAATGTGTTTGCACAGCTCCAACCTGTCACTGGGACCTGCTCCTCCTCATCATCATCTGGAGGTGGAGGTCCAGGTGGAGTACGAGGACCTCTGGGTGCTGGCCTGGGCGGGCTGCCATTGTACTGATCATCTTTTTCCCATTCTGAAAGACAAGTAATGATTGATGCACACTTGGCACTAAACACATCTATTGAGAAGAAGAAAAAGTCTGTTCAATTGGAAAGTTCAGTTCAGTATGCAGATGTGAAAGGTGACGTGCTGATTGGTTTCAGCTTCACAGTTTGTACCTTGTTTGACAATCCTCTTCAGGCCGCTTGGCTGCTGTGGGGGTGGGGGTGGAGGAGGGGGCGGTGAATCATGGTCATGCCCATGCGGACGGTCGGCTGTCCCATAAACTGCCAGGGTCAGGCTGGTGTACCAGCCGCGCAGCACCAGCCCATCGGTGTTCACCTGCACAAACAGTCCCAATTATTCACAAAACATCATGAAAGAACATCCGTTACCTGTTTATTAGAAATCCGTTACCTTTCCACAGGGTCTAAACACGATGGACTTGTTTTCATCGTATTCCAAACTGAGGGTGAAGAGAAAGACGGGATTGATTGATGGATATAACAGTGAAAAAAACATTATCAGGCTAACGACAAGTTAGACAAACTAAAATTTTTGGAGCTTTGATTATGAAACACATACAATATCATTGTTTGGATAAATTAATGCAATGTCACATGAATTTATTTTTAAAGTTGCATTAATTTTCAATAAAATATTGCATTGTTGACAGAAGAGTAAGGCAGTTTCTCAAGCACAACCCAAAGATTTTCCAGTAGAGTTAACATTTTGGCTTTGAGGTGGCCAATCCATGTGTGTAAATCATATTTTATTCCTTGAACCACTCTAACGGTATGAGCCCAAAGTAATGTCAAAGAATGAAAAAACGATTGAAACCTATCTTTCCCTTCAGCTTCTTTATCTTTTCAGCCGTCCTTGTTTGTTGGTTTACCCCAAAAAATATTGAACTTAAACTTATAAAACAAAACAAACCTTGGTATAACAATGGCCATGTATGGTAACATGTATAGCATTTTTTAAGTGACCATCACCTTATAGCAATATAAACATGACTTAAAAAAATCTTATAATGTTTGCAGTTTAAAAGTTCACATTTTACACTCTGCAGTAAACCGAGTACTCACCAAGTAGTTTTCTAAAAGTTGCACGGCTGTTTAGTCCTGATATTGTGGGTTTTCTTGCATGGAAATATGGTTAGTTTCACTAATAAACCTTTTTCATTTTAATTTATTTATTATTATTTATTTATTAACCTTTATTTAACCAGGCAAATCCCACTGAGATCACAGATCTCTTTTGCAAGGGAGGCCTGAAGGCAGACTAACATGCATGTTTTTTGGTCTGTGGGAGGAAACCAGAGTACCCAATGCAAGCACAAGAAGAACATGCCAACTCCACCCAGAAAGTGTGAGGTGCTGGCAGACATCTTTAACACCTCACTTACCCTGGAGACAGTTCCCACCTGCCTGAAGACTGCCACCATCATCCCAGTCCCAAAAAGCTCTACAGTGACTGGTCTGAATGACTATCGGCCAGTGGCCCTCACCCCGATAGTCGCTAAATACTTTGAAAAACTGGTCATGACTCGCATCAAAACAACCATCAACATCAACGAGGACCCTCATCAGTATGCATACCGTGAGAACCGATCAACAGAGGATGCCATCTCCTCTGTGGTCTACACTGCGCTCAACCATCTGGAGCAGAAAAACTCTTACGTCCGTATGCTCTTTGTGGACTTCACATCCGCCTTCAACACCATGATCCCCCAAACCCTGATGGACAAACTATCCACACTAGGACTAAGCCCCTCCATCTGCAACTGGGTACTAGACTTTTTAACAAACAGACCACAGTTAGTGAGGATCCACAACCTCTCCTCCTCCACCATAACCCTCAGCACTGGCTCTCCTCAGGGATGTGTGTTGAGTCCCCTCCTGTTTACTCTGCTCACGTATGATTGTGCAGCTACCCATCCAGGCTGTCACATTGTAAAGTTTGCAGATGATACAGCGGTGGTGGGATGCATCACAAACAATGACGAGTCCAGCTACAGGCAAGAGGTGGAACACCTGGAGAGCTGGTGCAAAGAGAATAACCTTCACATCAATGTGAAGAAGACAAAGGAGATGATTGTGGACTTCAGAAGGAACAAAAACATCTACACCCCCCTGAACATAAGAGGATCTGCGGTGGAAGTGGTCTCCAGCTACAAGTACTTGGGTGTACACATGAATGACAACCTCAGCTGGAGCAACAACACCACCAGCCTGATCAAGAAAGCTCATCAGAGACTCTACTTCCTCAGACGGCTGAGGCGAGCTGGTCTGGGAAGCTCAGTCCTCACCTCCTTCTACAGGTGTGCAGTGGAGAGCATCCTGTGCTCGAGCATCAATGTGTGGCATGGAGGCTGCACAGCTGCAGAAAGGAAAGCTTTGCAGAGAGTGGTGAAGGCTGCACAGAAATCTGTCGGAATCAGCCTCCCCACCATCACAGACATCTACACCTCCAGATGCAGGAAGAGGGCCACCTGCATCATGAAGGACCCCACTCAACCAGCACACACACTTTTTGCCCCACTCCCCTCAGGAAGGAGGTTAAGGAGCATTAAGTGTAGAACCACTAGACTGAGGAACAGCTTCTACCCTGAGGCTGTTAGACTCATGAATCTCTAACTAGAATAATCACTGTGAAAAACCATATGTTGCTGCTGATCTGTTTAAATGTTGATGTGTTCATGCGTGCACATCTGCTCACAGACTCATGTTCATGTTTGTGCTGATGTTCAATGTTTTATATTATGAGTGCTTAGTGTATATTTAGTTGATGTTTTTCTTAGTTCATATCTTAGATGTTATTACTGTTTTTCTTATACATTTTATTGTTGGATGTAACTGGGACCTTGTGTACATAATTTCGCTCCACCACATGTACCACATGAGGTGCGAATGACAATAAAGAAACTCTGACTCTGACTGACTCTGAAAGACCTCAAGTACAACCGGGGATTGAACCCAGGACCTTCTTGATGTGAGGCAACAGTGCTAACCACTGAGCCACCGTGCTGCCATAATTTCATCGAACTTAAAATGATCACACATCACAATCATGATGTTACTGATGTCCTTCCAAGTTTAATAACAATAGTTATAGAATTGTTCATTTTGATACTTTTAAATAACTTATTGGTTGTTTTTGTGTTTTGCCTGAAACAGACCAATAATTTGACTCTCTGACACGGAGGAACATTTTAACTTCAACAGATTATGCCTTCCAACATGGTTCCTTCATGAATGAGAAGCTACTCAACACAACAATTAGAAATAAAAATTATTACAAAGGAAAAAAAAACTATAACAACATAATTTAAAATTTTTCCCAGTGTATAAACAAATGTTTGTATAAAGTAGCTGTTGTTATTGTCAACATATAATAATAATGTCTAGATAAAAACGTCTGTCCTTAGAAGAAGTATTTTATTAAATTGGTCACAACCTGCTGAGATTTACAAACGATTCCATCAAGCCCCACAATGTTTTAATATATTAAAAAGCAAACTGAAAATCATTGTGACATATTCTCAGTGTATTTGTAATTATTTGGAAAATTTCACAAACCACATTTGGCCACAAAAGCTCATATTGTACTTCAAGTTAACAGACTAGATTACGAATTTAATTTAGATCACTGGAATTACTTTATTTTAAAACCATACAATATTGAGTCTTGATTTGAAAAAAAAAAAAAAACTTTTTCAATCACAGCCATTTAAAACAGTTGATGTTATTTTAAACACTAATCACTGAAATTTAACAAAAATGTCCTCCCAAATCAACTTTCCTGGCTAGCACCAATAATAAGTTGGGTGTGCCGCATTCAAAAATGTCATTAAGCCTCACTGAAAGAGCAGCTTTAGATACAAAGTAATGCTCCAGTGCTTCTCTGCACACTTGTTATACTGATAATGCTCAACTGAAAAATTTCCTTTTCACTGCCTGAATGAGATCTCTACATTTTTGTGTCACTTTCAGCTGCAGTACAGGTAGGGTTGGGTTTCTGGATAGACAAGTTAGTCGGGACAGGAACAAAGAGACCTGAATAAGGATGAATGCACAAGCCTACAAAAACAGGTCCCACATGCTGCTGTGACCGGTTCTACAGGTTGGAACAGACTTTTCCATCTCGGGCACTTTAGCGATCCGACCGGGAAGTGAGAAAACTGAGAATAGTCTAAACGGTTTATTTCGACAACATGAAAGCAGGGAGGGTAAAAATAATTCTGACCTGCCCAGTCTGTGGAAGGTGGGGCTGTTGGGCTTGGTGACATTTTTGAAGAACAACTCCAACTGAAAGGCATGAGGAGATGTTTCCCTGGAAACACAATTATGACACAGTTAGCACTTATTCATTAGCTTCTTAGTTTGACGTCAGCATCAACACAGTGGTGAGAAAAAATGTTAGCATAGAGGAAGTACAGATTTTATGCATCTTTGAATATAGCATCATTTGGCTAATGTGCTGCTTATATTTAACCTTGGTAAAGTTTCAAATCTCTAAACTATGCAAAAAAAAAGAGTAAATTGAATAATATAAACTTATTAAGATTACTAATGAAGATGTAGAATTCATAACAAAAGACAGCCAAAACATCTATGATTTTTAACTCATTCATTTTATTTTACAAAAAATAATCAAAACACTAATCCCTGAGCATATAATCCACCATCCAAACTTATTGCATTACTATTATAAACCTCTTGTGTTTATGTTTTGACATTCTTGAGGACATGGTCATTTAACTCACCTCTCACACCTCAGCGGCCTGAGAAAAACTCCACTAATCAACAATGTAGCTTAAGCGTCATTATCCATTAGTTTTTCCATTCAAACAGAATGTTTTGCAACCACATCCCACACAGATATATCATCAGTGAGCCATTTTCTCCACAATCAGTGTTTTAGATGTTTTTTAAGAGTGTGGTGACATTTTGGAATGAAAATAATGAAGCAATAAAAACCTAACAGAGGAACAGCAATAACATCAGTCACTTGTAATAAAATGGTTAGATAGCTGATACGTATGGTGTCATTTTAAGACTTAAAAGGTGTGGATACCAATCATTTCACTGAACTTCTTGACTTATATAACTGCAAAAAAGCACAGAGCTTCCAAGTCAGTTGCTCTTAACACAGCCGTGGGAAAAATTTAAATGTAGAGGGAGCTTTTTTTTTTTTGGGAAGTGGCAGCCCCCAGATGCTGGAGCAACCAGCCTGTTGGTATCTGTATTGCAGTCTATAAAGTCTTTTAAATCCTGCCTGAAAACTCAATTTTGTCCACTGGCTTTTAAGTGGACTTCAATTTCAATTATAACAGACCTTTGTGGTGGCGTTCCCTTGTTTTAGCCAATTTTATTAAACCTGACGGTTTCACTAGCATTGTTTGAGTATATTTTATTGTTATTTTTTTCTCTTGATTTTATCAGCTTGTAAAGCACACTGGTTAACATTTTAAAACAAACAAATTATAAAATTGTCTTTGACTGTGAAACAAGAGTATCACATGCAAATTAATTAACTTTATGGTCACTGTTTTGTTTACTTGATTTGACAAAAATAAAATCATCATACCCCCCATTGTTTTGTAATGCAAGATTATCTGGATTGCCCACATTAAATTTATACCACCCAATAACGTATTATGTGAGATATTATGTTGTGTGGTGTGTTTGTGCCTCTGTGTTGTAGCTCTCACCCAAATCCTCTGCTGTCAGGCAAGTTGCTGTGAGCTTTGACTCCTGGAGGAATGACCCGCACCTCTGTGATCAGGACCCCGCAAGGAAACCGCACCACATCCACGTTAGTTAACTGAAGTACACACACACATAAACCAGACAATAAATCATAAGCAACCGTACCCAGTGATGACAAAATAATGGCTTCGACAGTCACTTTTTCTGCCTGCTCCAAAGTAAACATACATTGTGATTAGCATCGACAACTAGGTTAACAAGAAAACAAACTCATGGACTACGTAGATGCAAAATAAAACCGATGCAGAAACTTATGCGTTTATATTTATCACTTACAAAAACAGTGTTTGGTACAGCCGTTAAGAAAACAACGAAAATGTCTCGTGACATAAAAGCAGTGTAACATCACCGTTAGTTGAGTTAGCGCCGTTAGCTTCAAAGTTTAGCATCATTTTTCTAAACTCCTGTATGTGCGCCCGATCTCAGCTTTTAATGCGAAAAGTCTTGAAAATATAAAAAAGTAATATATTACGGGGGATTAAAAAAAATTACCTCTGCACTCTGGTGCTTAAATGTGTCTAGAAAAAGAAGCTCCGTTGACGCGTCCAGCGCCATAGCTTTACAGTCTTTCTTGGACGTTGCAGGATCAACTTCCGGGTCGACTGAGTACTTCCGGTGCAAATTTGCTCGTCAAGATGTTTATTAATTTATTTGTTAATTTTTCTTTTTTTATAGACACATTGGTTCATGCAAAATAATAATAATAATTTGAAATAAACTTAACAATTTTTTTTAGATGTTATAACATTTGTAACAAGTAGAAAAAAATGTTTTAACCTAAAACTGGTGCATTTAAAGCCTTAATGATATTCTACTTTTAAATCACACCGTTTTCATTCATTCAACCTTTATTTATACAGGTTAATACCATTGAGCCTCTGGGACTCATTTACAAGAGAGACCTGAATTTTTAAACAAAGAGTGATGACAACAGTGGACAACAACAACAACAGTAGACAATCATAAAGGAAGCATACAATAAAAAAAAAAAAAAAAAGTTTTAACAAGTGAAAATATAAATGCACCCAAAAGGACAATCAAAAGGAAAGTAGCGAAAAAAACTGCTCGATTGTAAGGTGGTGTAGTAAAAACAGGAACATGTCTGCATTGATTTTTCCCAGGAACTTAAAATTTAAAACCACTTAGAGAGGTCAAGGTTGAGAGCTTCAGATCTTTTTGCAAGATATTCCAGGAAACAGGAGCAGAGTAGGAGAAAGCCTTTTTGCCTAGTTCAGTCCACACTGAGGGGACACTGCATGTTGTCCTGAGAGTGCACGCTGTAGCTGCACTCATGCAGTGACATGTAGGAGATGAAGGCAGCAGACCAAGAAGTGATTTAAAGATGAAAATTTACCAGTGGGAGAGTCTCCGTGAAGTTAATGATGTCCAGTTAACCAGTGAATACAGGGTGCAGTGGTGGGTACGATAATCACAGACAGTTATGAATCTTAGTGCACCATGATAGGCAGCGTCCAACATCTGCAGCGCGCTTGTAGGAGCATTCATGTAAATAATGTCACCGTAGTCCATGGAGGGAAGGAAAGTTGCAGTTACAAGGAGTTTCCTAGTGTTCAGAGTTAAACAGATCTATTTCTGAAAAAGAAACCCAGTTTAACTTTCAGCTTCCTTACTAGGTTTTCCACGTGAAGCTTAAAAGAGAGATGCGAATCGACCAAGATACCCAAATATTTGTAGGAATCGACAAACTCAATAGGGACACCATTTTTTTTTTGTTTTCTAATCTTTTTTTTTTTTTTCTATTGTATGGGTGTACACATGTTTTATGTTATGTTTTCATTTTTACTTTATTTATGGGTGTACACATGTTTTATGTTATGTTTTCATTTTTACTTTATTTCACTTTATTACTATTTGCACCTTTATGTCGAAGCAAATTCCTAGTTTGTGAACCTCATTCATTGACATGGCAATAATAAACTGATTCTGATTCTGATTTGAGGATAAAATCTGGGGCAAACTTACTCTTTGAAAAAAGCATCACAGTCCACACTACATTTGTAATTTGTATGTGTATAAGCATACAACCAAACAAACACTTGAAAATAAATTAATAAAATACATTATTGTTGTTGTTGTTAATGAAATGATTAATTTTTTTAATATAATTTTTGTATTCAATCAAGAATCAGGAATTTTCCAGATGCTGTGTTTACGTTTTATAAAAGCTTTAAGTTTTTACAAAAACGTTTTAAAGCTAATACATCTGTAACCAAATATAATAACATAGGAACTACCGATAATTAAATAAACGACAATAAAAACAGTTTAGTTTCTTTCTAAGTACTTTGACAAAAGTATTTTTTAATTGCTATAAAATTGTATCTTCTTGTTTTTATATGGACAATGAGTAATAATTTATCATGCATAAAAAATAACTTTTTGTTTGGTAGAAAAAGCTGATTTTGTCAATTTTAGAAGCCATTTTTATGTGTGACCATTTTCAACCTGCAATCTCTAAAAACCTTCTTGTGCATAAACAGAATGCCAAATTCAAACCTCAAATTAAAAAAATTAATAAATAATAACCTTTTTTCTTCTTCAGGGGGCTGTCTTTCTGTCCTCCCTTTCTCTGCCACGTCCTAATCGTTACGCCACCTGAAGAGAGGGAGGGGCCAGGTGGAGCGTCACGTGATCGCCACAGGTAAGAATCAGTACAAAAACAGAGAGCGTGCAGCCATTACTCCGCGATGGTGACTGCGGGAGGCTTCACGTGAACGTTTACCTCGCAATAACAAAAAAAAAACAAAAAAAACTTCACAGTGCTCACCTTGGCGTTCAGGTGTCACGTTAAAGCTGTTTCTACCTCGTACCTTCCGCGGGTGCTTCAGCTACTTCTCTATTGTTCGGTTTAGTGTTACTTTTATTTTTTTGTTGTTTAGTTTGTGCTCAGATGACGGCGCAGGTAGATTACCTGGCGGTGGTTTTCACCGCCACATCTGGCGCGGCCGGAGAGCTGCTGGGCTCTGATGAGAAAGAACTGGTGCGGTTGGTTTGGCAGCTGGTGAATGTCAAGAATAAAACGGTAAACACTTTATTTATTTATATTTAAATGTACATTTTATCTGCTTGTTGTCATCACAAAGTAGGAACTGTGGTGAAAGCAGCTGAACAAATCTGTGCCTGACAGACTTGACATGCTTGGCCTAGTGGTCGTCCTCCAATCGGAAGGTTGGGGGTTCGAGTCCCAGCCTCTGCAGCAATTCTCTCTGATGCCTGCTGAAACTGGCACGTGAGGGGCAGCAATGTGAAAGTGCTCTACAATGGAGTGTGATGTTTATAATGGAGAGCAACGTGTTAATTTACTTGGAAGTTAAAAAGATGCTTACATTTTAACATTTCTGTTAGCTGACCTGTTGTGAGTTTTGCACATTTTTTTTCCATCTGTTGAAAATGATCAGCTGACATTTTTTATTTTATTTAGTGTAAGATTTATGTAGAAACAAGTAATACAAAGAGAGTCCTGGCAGTATGTAATTAATATCTGCCTACGATGTTTCACCTTGGGACGCGTTCTTGTGGAAGCTACTGTTTCAAGACTGACTTGTTTTTTTTGTTGTTGTTTTTTTTTTAACCAGTTGGGCAAGGTGAATGAGCTCATCATCAAGCCTAACCTCTCAGACTTGACAGACAAAGAAGAGGAGGAAGATGATGTTGTGGAGAAAAGCGAGGAGGAGGAGGAGGAGGAGGAGCAGGAGGAGAAGAGTTTGCACAGAGCTGACTGCGTTTACACAGTAACAAGTCTCGACAGTGCTTTTGACACGGTAATAGAAAAACATTTTAGTCCTGTACTTCATTCTAAACAGTCTTGAGAATGTCTTATTCTCTATTATTTTTGTCTGTTCGTAGTTTAACCTGCAGCTGACGAACGAGGTGAACAGTGCGGGCGCGGGCACGTCGTTGTGTTTGTGTACAGACGGGCAGCTCCACATCCGTCAAGTGATTCACCCCGAGGCTGCGAGCAAGGTGAGCGAGCAGGGTAGGGCGAACGCCTCGCAGCCAGGGCGGATGTTCGCTCTCTGCTGCAGGAGCCTTCAGTGCTGTCGGCATTGTACTCCCAGCTGAATCAAACGTTGCTCTGAAAGTTGGTCCGCAGTGGAACTCCTGCAAACCTGTCCAGTGACACGCACACGCCCATGAACCTCTGTGAAGCCTCACACCTTAAAGCTGTATATGAAGAAAGCCGTGTATGCTCTTGTTTGCTTGAGCAAACACGAGAGTGACAAAAGTAATAAAACGGCAGCTGTTGACGGGCTGCTTGTTCACAGCTTTTCATATGTGTTCCCTCTGCAGAACGTCCTGGTCCCCGACTCTTTCTACTCCTTCTTCGACCTTCGGAAGGTGTTCAAGAACCACTTCCCCACCTCTGACCTCAAGGCACTGAATGTGCACGTCATGGCCGAGTGTATCCCTTTGTTCACATGTTTGTCGCCTTATTGCCACGGTTAATTACGAACATGTTTTTAGGCTGTTTGTGTATGTTTTGTCATTTTTACTGGACACTCCAGAATAACGTACTAGAATTTTACAGGCTAGGGTGTTGGCTGCTGGGTAAGAGGTTTTGAAATGCAAATAAGGAAGAATGGCAGCACTTTGCTAAGCTCTAGGTGAAGGAGTGTGTGTTTAGCCAACAGGGCAAACCCCACACACCCACTGGTAGAGAAAACCTGACATGTCAGTGTTTTTAACTTGTTTACCCAGACATTTAACTTGCCTGTTTGTAGTAAAACTACTTAATGACTCCATTGCTTCTTTAACTGGCTCCGCCTCAGCTCTTAGTATACCTATGAATGTTCCCACCGTGTGGGATCCCTCGGCTACTCATGAGCCGTCGGCTGTTTTGCCCCCAACGGCGGCCGTAGAGCAGCTCCAGCTTATGGCCAGCATTGTTCTTGCACTGCTCTCTGAGCCATTTTGTGAGTATTTCCTGCCGGCTTGTATGATGGTACTGAAAGAAAACTGCTCCTGCAAATTTAGGGCTTTCATTTCTCTGTGGTGATGCCAGTCTGTTTGTGGGGTTTTGTGGAAAGGTTATGAACAAATAATATCTTACCTGTTGTAGACTGCTCTTTCAGTTTGAAAAAATAGAGTTTAATGCAAAACTGATGGCAGTGTAAAAAAATATAAAAGTATGTTCTTGTTATTTTCTAATACTGTACGAGACAAGTTGTTTTAAGACTCTCTATATAAATATGGTTTGGACTCGCCCTGATTCAGACTAGCCATTAGCTCGTCAGTCCAGTCAGAATTGAACTACATTTCTCCAAACTGAGGCCTATGTACAACATGTAAGATAGTTATTGTTCATAAGCCCTCTACTTCAAAAGATCTGAACCATCCTTTTTAAAACACTGAAGTGGAAAATCCACTGAAAGTTATTAATGGATTTATTTGTATCTTCTACTCCGTATCTGATGTAACAAAGTCTTTGTTCACATACCACTAAGAGTAGGCAGAACAGATGCTTGTATAAATATAATGCAAATATATTAAATGGTTATAGAGGTAACTTTTATTTTGTTTAAAATAAGCGCTGTCATTTGATTATCCATCACTTCATTTACAGGCCACACATTTTCTAACCCAGAAAGAGTCAGCGATAGATTTGAAAATGGCACTTGGTAAGTATTTTTATTTTTTTATTTTTTTCCATGTGCATTTGCCTCAAAGTCCGCTCCTGTTGTTATTGATGTGTGTGTGTTTGTTTGTTTGTGCAGCAGTAAGCTGGAGAAAGTGTGTGACAACACAGTGATCAGAGCCAGAGGGTTGCCTTGGCAGTCGTCAGACCAGGACATCGCTCGATTCTTCAGAGGCCTCAACATCGCCAAGTATGAACATTTGCACAAGTCTTAAACTCCGACAGCCACGACGGTGTAACTGATAATACTCTGGGAGCTGCTGTGTACCTTTAACCATCTGCATGTTGTTGCACAGAGGAGGGGCTGCGCTGTGTCTTAACGCTCAAGGAAGGAGGAATGGCGAAGCCCTCGTTCGTTTTGTCAGTGAAGAACACCGAGACTTGGCCCTGCAGAGGCACAAACACCATATGGGCAACAGATATATAGAGGTGACCTGTCCAGACACAGCTTGTACTTGCTGATTTAAAAAGTTAGACGCAAAACTCATTATATATAAATTTTATAGCTCCATCTGTGATGCCAAGTACTCTTAAATAACCCTTATAATTGTTCTTTGTAATGCCAGGTTTATAAAGCAACAGGAGAAGACTTTCTGAAGATAGCAGGAGGTGAGACGATTTAACCCTTGATGGGTTTTTGATGCTGCTTCTTGTGGAAATTTCTTACTTTAACAATCCTCATGAAAAAAAAAAAGAAAATCAATTGGAGCTTCGGTCACATAATGAAATGTCATGATGAGTTTACGCAAAGTAGCACCTTATTTAATATTTCCATTCTAGTTCATTAGAGTTTTGTTTTAATTTTTTTTAGTCTGACTTGCCATTTTCTAAAAGAAAAGTTATATAATTTGCAGAACAAATTGATAGTTATGACTCAACTGTGACGTTTTAATAATGTTAATGTGGCCTTTTAGATGGAGCAGCACGTTAGTCAACAAGCAGAATAGTTATCAATTTGCATTTTTCACATTTTATTCCTATGAAGTAGGGTTTAAAAGAAAACAATTATGCACTCGTCAAAAACCTGTTAAGTTTTTCATTGAAGACCACATTTATGCAAACATTAAAGCCAAGTGTACACAAAGACCTCATTCATGCCTGCAACATGAGTTCTGTTTAACTCGTGTTGCGCTGCCTTTGCGTGTTTGTCAGGAACCTCCAACGAGGTGGCGATGTTCCTGTCGCGCGAGGACCAGATCATCGTGAGGATGCGGGGCCTCCCCTTCGACGCCACGCTCAGTCAAGTGCTGGACTTCTTCTGTCCGCGGGACGAGCTAAAAGAGACGTGTCCGGTCAGCGGAGGGACGGACGGCATCTTATTCGTCCGCTACCCGGACGGGCGTCCCACTGGAGATGCTTTTGTGCTGTTTGCCTGTGAGGAGCATGCTCAGTGCGCTCTGAGGAAACACAAGGACATGCTGGGGAAAAGATACATCGAGCTGTTTAAAAGTACGGCGGCAGAGGTGCAACAGGTACAAAGCATGGAAAATCTTCAATTAAAAAAAAAAAAAAATATTCATTCATTTTAAAGAAACAAAATAAAACAAATTCATCAAAAAGAAGAAGAAAAAACATTGAATGAAAAGGGTGCAGAAAGAAGAAAAAAATTCTTATATCTGCCTCCAAAAAACAACGACTTAGGCTTGAACATCTCCGAAGTGAAAACAAAAATATTAGGCATCCTTCACTTGGCACCATACTTTTCTAACCATTTTAACTTGATCATCTTTTTAAACATAAATTGTTTTAGAAATTTTTATGGCGATATCAAGGTAATTCCACAATCCTATTCCCTGAATTACAACACAGCTCCTTCAGACTAGTTTTAAATGGAGGTTTTACAAACATTTCTATTCCCTTGAGGTTATATTGACTCTTTTTTTTTTTTAACATTTTAATTGAATATTTGGGGGTAATATTTTTTATGAGCTTTATACATGACTTGCAAAATACTGTATTCAACCAAATCATAAAATTTTAATGATTTCAATTGATGAAATAATACATTTGAGTGACCATAGCGCTTCCTACTAATCATTCTTATTTCTGTTTTTTGTCAAATAAAAATGGGGTTTGTAATTGTTTTGCATGCTTTTCCCCAAACTTGAATACAATATATTAAATATGGAACAATCATTACATTATACAATATATACAAAGCTTTGTTATTCAAAAACTCTTTTACTTTATACAGTAATGCAATTGATTTTGCTATTTTTATTCTTAAGTAATTTACATGAGATATCCGTGTCAGCTTCTCATCAATAACGACAAATAATGCTTTGCCTTTTTTAGTTTATTTTGTCTTTTACTACAGTTTGAAATAATTATTACAGCAGGGCTTACAAGGATTACAAGATGCTTTTCTTTCATGTGTATGGGTTTTTCTGTTTCGATTTTCTCTTCCTCCATCATGTCGTTCACTTGTGACGTGTATAGTCATGAAATAATTTTCCTATCTCTCAGGATGGATGAGCTTACAGCCCTCTTACATATCTATGCAGAGGCTTTCCACCACACTGTGTGTGACACAGGAGCTTTATGAGCCTCCTTCAGAAGTGCAAACATGCTGGTGTCCTGTTGGCTACAGGCCAGCTCCGGTTGGGTTTAGCTGTTTTTCAGTGTCAAACGTCAGGAAGGAGGCTGTACGATGTATATCTCCTTTTTAAGTGTCTGATAAGATGGTCATTGTGTGAAACGTTCACACTATTGTTTTCCTGTTTTATTTTTGGGCATACTTTGCTAACTACGTCTGCATACTTTGTAATATTTTAGCCATTCATATAGTGAAATGTTAATTCAGGAGATGGGTGTTGTAGTTTGTATTCTTTTAAAAAATGATATTGGTGGTTTATTTCTCCCAGAAATATTTAACTGTAAAATTTATTCTGAATAATTATTCTCTTTAAAATCTGCTGTAGCATACTTTCACTATTTTTGCCTTTTTAATGTTACTTTTATCCAGAATTGTTACTTTTAGCTTCTAGCTCTCCATTAACTTTTAGTTATCATTTTTCCATATTTTGCTTTTTGTCTTTTGTAACTTTTAAACTAACTTCTTTTGTTAAGCTTTTGCTACATTAGCTAGTGTTTTAGCTTATTTTTAGCTAATACAGTGCTATTTCTAGCTTTTTTTATGTCAACATTTTATGATATGAAAACACAAATGCGGCCATGGTAGCTCAGTGGTGCAGGCTCGCAATCCTGAGGTTGCAGGTTCAAGCCCAGGTTATGACAGGAAGATCATCCGGTGTAAAACTTAAATCTTTTTGTGAGTTCGCTCGCTGTGGCGACCCCTGAAGAAGTGAGCATCCAAAAAAACCCAAACATTTTAATGAAAATACAAATAAGGTTTGATTAGACTAGCCTACCTTCTTGACCCTCTTTGAGGTGGAGTGTGCGATTTGAAACCGTGTGTGTTTTTCAGGTACTGAACCGGTACTCGTCGCCCCCGCTCATCCCCGTGGCTCCGGCGCCCCTGGTGTCAGTGCTGCCCTCAGTTTCTCTCCTGCCCCCTCCAGGTAGTGCGAGGGACTGCTTGAGGCTGAGGGGGCTGCCGTACACGGCGAGCATCGAGGACATCCTCACCTTCCTGGGCGAGTTCACACAAGATGTGAGACCGCACGGAGTGCACATGGTGCTCAACCAGCAGGTACTTGCACCAACTGACTGACACTCCCTCGACTCGTATGCTTTCTGACACAAATTTGGCAAAAACATTTCTGTGATTTTATTTTATTTTTTACAGGGTCGTCCGTCTGGTGACTGCTTCATCCAGATGACTTCGGCGGAGCGTGCACTTCAGGCCTCGCAGCGGCTTCACAAGCACGTGATGACCAGTCAGCGTGGGGCGAACAGCCGCTATGTGGAGGTGTTCCCCTGCAGCGCCGAGGAGATGGGCCTGGTGCTGATGGGAGGCTCGCTCTCACACACGCACACACACAAACATAACCGGAGCAGAAGTGGGACAGGGCTCAGCCCGCCGCCATGTAAGTTCAGACGTAAGTGCTGCTGGGAGCTGGGGGTGCTTCGGGACTGCAGGGTAGGTGGGCTCCACCCGATGGGTGCAGGGTTTGTGGTTTCTCTCCAATCTAGAGATGTTGGAGGATGGGGAGATGGATTTAAAACTTTGTGTGTGTGTGAGTGTGGTTCCTCTTAGAAATTTAGTGTGATTATTTCACCCCATTTGCATGTCCTGAAAATACTCAAGATTTTAAGTTTTGTTCTTCAACGTTCACACGTTCTGATTGAGTAGTTTTAATCTTCAGTGGCATGCTCATCACTCATTTCTTACCACTGCTGAGGTCATTCATAAAGATCTGGAAGGGTTGGGAAAGTGTAAGCCGAACAGTTTCTTACAAGTGAACAATCTGGCAACGCAGCTTACAACTTTCTGATCTCATCAGATCGGTAGTGGGTGTTATGGGTTTTAGTCTGAATAGACAAGCACACCTCAGCTGTGTGCGACTCCTTTTCTCTGTCCAATCAGGAGCTGTGCCAAAAGGTGGGCGGAGCTGGTGTGTAGGTGTGTTTCGTTCTGTCTGTTCAGTGATCTCTGATTGATTGATTCACACTGCTGTTTACATAAAATCAATACTGTTTTTTGGGGGGTGAAGCCATCTTTAAGCATCAGTTAAGATCTTTTGAAGTGGAATTCTGCAGAAAGTTTATGAACAGTCAATATCTTACCTGTTGCAGATGACTTTTTGAACAGTTTTTTGTCAACAAATTTGAATTCCTAAGACCAAATTTTGTTGCTGCTGTCATCATGTAATGGATATTTTATTAAAAGGGCTTTTTACATCACCGTCGGGTGATTTTTACATAAAATGCTCTGGTTATTTATAAGCCTAACAGTAGCGGCATTAGCAGCAGCAGCAGCATCTCCAAAATACAAGCAGAGTCCAGTTTTCTTTTAAAGGAATACAGCAGCAGTTTGTTGTAGCACTTCTGGTGCAAACTGAGGCACTTCTAGCACAAACATATTTATTCTAATGTGAAATTGATTGTGATTGAGAGGTTTCTAAAATGGCATTCTTATGAACTGCTACAAAATCTTTTAGGAATGTAGGTTTTGTTTTGTTTGTTGTAGTTTAAGACTGCTACAATCCTCCAGTGGTCTTGGCCTCAACTAGCCGTTAGCTCATCAGTTCTGTCAGAGTTAAATTTTATTTCACTAAACTGAAGTCGTTCAGAGCTATCTGCAATTCATAAGGTATTAAATGTTTGTAACCTTTCTAAAAAAAAAATAAAACAATTCATAAATCATAACTATTTAGATTTTTTTAGTTTAATTTTCTATTTTTAAATAAAACAAACACTAGTCCAAAGCCAGAACCATATTGTAAGAGTATTTTGAGGAAAGCCACAAAAATCTTGTAATTTTTCTCCTAAATAGTTTTATTTCTAAACGTTACCGTTTGAGATTGAGAAGTCAGTAAAAATGGTGTATTTTGACTACGTAATTAAATGTTTTATTTTCATTATTAGAATCACATTAAATGCTGCTTAAAGACTAAGCGCCTGCTACAGATTTTGATACTAAAAAAGGCCTTGTCATGAAAAAGCTGCAAACCTGGTGACGGGCCTGTTAAACACAACAGCTTCTATTCACGTGCGCTACCATTGTGTGTTTGTAAGGAGATCCTCTTGTGGAAAAATCCAAACAATAAGCAGATTTTCCACCATGACTCTGTCCACGTCTAGTTTTGTCTGTATGGATTAAAAAAAGACAAAAATTTCTTCATATCCCCTCCTCTTTTTTAGGTCTATCACCACCATCCTACTCCTTCGCCCCCATTCCACCCGTCCTGCCCACAGAAGCTGCTGCTGCTCTCTACCCCCCCCTCGGGCAGGTGCTGTTGACCCCTCGACCTCTCCCACCAGGACATGCCTTCTACCCTGCTTCAGCACAGTTGTACATGAACTACACGGCCTACTACCCCAGGTAAACACAAAAAACGTTTGAATTCACGTTAAATTCTGGAGCCTAGCCAGCCAGCCATTATCTTTACCTGTTTATTCCATTTTGGGTCACGGGGGTCGCTGGTGCCCATGTCCAGCAATCACTGTGCGAGGGGCGGGGTACACCCTGGACGGGTCGCAAGTCTATCACAGGGCCACATAGAGACAAACGAGACAAACAACCATTCACTCTCTCACTCACACCTAGGGACAATTTAGAGTTACCAATCAGCCTAACATGCATGTTTTTGGTCTGTGGGAGGAAACCGGAGCACCCGGAGAAAACCCACGCATGCACGGTGAGAACATGCAAACTCCACCCAGAAGGCACCTGGACCGGGGTTTGAACCAGGGACCTGCTCGCTGAGAGGCAGCAGCTCTACCAGTTGCGCCACCGTGCTGCCCATTCTGGAGCCTAATGCAATTTTATTTAAATGGCCAAATATTCAGAATTTCCATTCTCTGAAAAACTAATAATTGATTAAGGAAGTTTGGAAATATTGGCAAAATAACTACTCTGTAACTATTATAAATAGATTTATGCTTCTCTTGGGCCCAACAAGGCTGTCGGTGGTCACTTGGTGTGCTGCTGAGGAAGACTCTGTGAAACTTAACTCGGGTGTTTACGTTTGATTTTTGCGAGCCTTCTATTTGTGCCAATATGATCATATTAATATGTATGTATAAGGCTGTTGCAGTAAAACATTAAATGTTTTGTTTTTAATATTATTGGATTGTAAAAATATATTTTCTGCATTTGGCTTGTAGTTAAACATGCTCAAAAGTTTACAACAAAATGAAACGCATAACTTTTTTTGAGCTTCAAAGATCAAGATAATTTTGGTGAAAATAAACTTTTCCCTTAAACCCAATAGTTTGTTTTTATTAGCTGTTGTCATGATGAGCACAATCTGCTCAGATCTGTTAGCAAAATATCTATTGACAAACTTCAATAAAACCCTCAGAGAAAAGCAACCATCTATAACTGATCAACTATTGAGGTCAACTTGATTGAAGATGGCCGCCACTGCTAAATGACCGTAGCAAATACATAATTCAATTCAATTCAAAATACTTTATTAATCCCAAAGGGAAATTAATTGTTGTTGTAGCTCATCATCCTTAGAGTTGTTATAGATGCTGATGGCTGTGGGCAGGAAGGATCTGCAGCAGTCCGTTCCACAGCGGATCGGAAGAAACTGGCTGCAGATGCCGATCCGTCCACCCAGACTCAGCAGACCTCACGGTCCTCTTGGGCAGCAGGACTGCCCGAATGCCTGGCAGAACTCCTCCTGGAGCGATGGCCATTTCTCCCAGCAGCCTGCTGAGGCCCTCACCGCCACAGACTTTAACTGCAGGTGCCGGGATACGATTTCGGCCTTCGCGTTTTCATGAGCCGCAATTCCAGCTACCTCCAAGATCTCGGCAGTCAGGCACTCGAGCACCGCCTCCAGGTAGACGGGAATGCATCCATTGTGCCTCCTTTTCAATTCATTTGGGATTTGGGGCTGTAGCTGAGGTATTATATGAGCTTTTGAGATGTTAATCAGCTGCTCCCAGTTGTAGAAAACCACCTTGTTGTCATGGGTACGCATCATAACAAATGTCCAAAAGTAAAAAAGGTTTCAGTAAAAATCCTTCTTGTGTCACATCATCTGATACCAGAGGAAGTAATCATCTGAAAAAAACCATTTACATCCAGTAAAAAGAGGAATTAAAGTTTTCAAAAGTAAAATCTCAGAATGAATGCAAGAGAGCTACTCCCAACATACAGCCACCTTGAGCGGCGCAATTCTGGAACATAAATGTTATAACTCAGTCAATTTTATAGTTGAGCTTAGCTCTGTCATTTCTAACTTGGACCCAAAGCCTGACCTGACCTGAATTTGGGCCGGACCGGGCCATAATAATGTGCTGGATGGGTGGGCCGGGTCGGTGTCGGGCTTTTGCTTGCATCAGCAGACGCGCGCAGCTGACGATCCAATTATATGGCAACATGGCTTACCATACATTCCAGTTATATGGCAATATGGCTTGCCATGCATACCATCACTAGCCGCACGCAGCCATTTGACCGTGAGCTGACTGGCCTTGAAAGAGGTAAAAAGTTCAGTTAAGCTTCAAATGGGACTATACTGCCAGGCCCAAATGGACGTTCAGCCGCTGCACTCAGCGGATGCGCGCAGCCGACGATCCAAACAGGTGAGATCACAAAGCAGACATGTCAGAGCAGGGTCTGTGTCTGAATAATGCAGAAGCAGGGATTGCACTTTGACGGCCATGAAAGGACAAACACCCCCTCAGCTCCGATCTTCTGCCCCTTTTATTCAGCCGCGCGCGTCCTCCGACCATTAATAACTGTTTAAGTAGTCAAAGCTTAATTAAAAATGTCGGGGTTTTTTCTGGTTCGGACCTGTAATTACTATTAATTCGTTGGGTCGAGTGGGGTTTGGGAATGATGGCTACGGGCAGGGATTGGGTCGGATCGGATTTTTTGGGCCCGAATGCAACTGTAGTTGAGCTAAAGTGTGGTGTGGCAGTAGCTGAGAGTCATCTCCAACATGTACTTCAAGTGCAAACGGATCATACAAGGTCTTTTTTTTTTACTTTGGCATGCGTTAAAAAAATAAAATAAGATAAAAGATTGTATAATAATTTTAAGTCTGTTTTACACTCATATAATTTTGAAGTTCGTTGTTTGGCAAGACACACATCAACCAGAGACAAACCGTTCTCTTTCTTCCAAAGAGAAAGACCAGGACAAGGGTAGTTAATAACTGAAGATTGTGTTATCAGAGAGCTCGGTAAACATGAGGTGACCTCTGTTTCTTCCTTGTTGGTTCTTTGACAAAAAAAAAAAAAACACTAATAAACAACACCCAAAGTTACACTCAGGTTTATGCCTTTTTTTTATCTCATGCTTACTGTATTTGCCGAGAATATTGCAGCTTTTTGCGTGTGTTCATAATATCTTTTTTATTTATTTATTTTACTTATTTATATATTTATAAATAATTTATGTATTAATTTCTGCAGCCCGCCAGGCTCCCCAACGACTGTAGGTTTTTTCCCCGCCGCCTCGTCTCTTTCGTCGCCGGCAGGGTTGGTGCGAATGCCAGGCCTGGCCTATAACGGCAGTGGAGTTAAAGAGCTTATCAATGCAGTGCAAGGATACCAGGTAAGAACGAGTTCCCTTCCAGTGCATCCCATTTATCTAAGAACTTATAGTTGTAGCACTCGGACGTGTTCCCATGCCCCTCTGTTTTGTTTTATTCAAATCTCCTCCTCCGATGGGTGTGTATCGTCAGGTATCCACTGCCGTTGCTTCAGGCTATCAAACTAGTTTATCCTGTCTACTCTCCCTGATTTGTCACACATGCACTGCAGCTTGCTTTGACTTGAACTGGAAGAGCTCAGGTTTTATTACTTATGCCTGGAAAAGAGTGAAGAATCCCCGGGATGAGACGTAAACATGGCGTGATAAATCGGAGTTTCTGCTTTAGACGAGGGAGCATCAGGGTTTAGTTTCTGTTCCTCTTTAATGTCGGGCCTGCGTTTTGTTCAGGCCCCTATATCGCTCTCTCAGGGTCATGTTTGTGGTTTAAATGTGTCTCTGTCGCACCTCCTCCTCCCCTCCCCCCACACCACAGTACGCCCCCGAGGATGCTCTTGTGCATGGACCCGTGCACGCTCACGACCCAGCCAGGACGTTTCTTACGCAGCCCAAAGAATGGGTGTGTATTTAAAGGTGTCTGAGGCAGGTGGCAGGTAAGGATTGGCTGAGGGCTCAGTTAGGGAGGGGGGTACTTTAAAGACATCAAGCTTTAGAAACCGCTTCGCTTTTTGTGGGGGTGGGGCTCAACATGACAGCGTGTCCACACAGAGCAGAGGACATTAGTTTAGGCTGAGTGGTTGGAGTCTGCTTAAGTTTTTATTTTGGTGTTTTTGTTTTAAATCACTGTGATCGGGCACCTTTCTTTGTAATCATATGGTGAGCTGTGTTTATCTGTCCTATTCAGATAAATCTTTACTGGATGATGATGATGATGATGAAAAGAGCCGACTGACTGTTGACTAACCCACGTCTGATCAATGACTGTCCAGTCAAGATTCTGCATCAATAATAAGTCAGGAATATGAAGCTCTGAATGCTCGTCGTGCAGCAGAAACAAAACAACTAGAACATTTATGAACACATTTTGAAGGATGCCCACGCAGCCCAAAATTCTAATATAAATTCATAATCATCTGAGCTAAAACAAAGCCCTACATTTTGATGAATCAGATGTATAAAAAGTGTAAGGGGAATATACAGTAGATAAAAACGGCTGTTCATTATGGTTGCCTTGTAACCACACACTTGCGTCTTAATGGATTAAAATGCAGACTGTAAAGTAAACCGCAAACAAATAGTCGCTGTACAAAAACTTAAGTCCTAATGATTTTTGAACTGCAAAAAGCAGAATGCTGTTAGTCAAAACATCTTTAAGTTTCTACAGTGTTTGATGTAGGAGATATGGGACGTTATAAAATACAATAACTTCACCTTCTAGTTTTGAAGAGAATAGTTTGCAGTAAAATATAACGGAGGTCTACGGAAGCCTGGGTGTGCCCCATTAAGAGTGGCAAGCCTCACTTTCTGCGGCTGGTAAAAATCCCATTAATCGCCATTATTTATTTTTTTCCCAATTTTATTTTATTTTTTGCAGTTCTATTTATGTTTGACGTATTCCTGCCAAAAGTCTTGGCATACTCTTCTTAAATGAGGCACACACTTTGGTACACAAATATGATGATACAGGACAAAGAATATAAGCAGAATAATAAGGCTACTTTAATGCTTATGCACAGGCACTTTTGAGAAAAAACATAAGAAAAAAATTATATTGTATAAGCTGAAATGTTGTAATGTCACTTCTTCTTTGCCACATGAGGCCAGTCCACCTCATGTACCACATGTGATGCGAATGACGATAAAGATATTGAACTTGAGTTTGTTCATCTTCACAAGTCCAAAGAGGAGTTCAGGACATGAGCAAACAGATCTTTTTCAACCAGTGGGCAGAAAACTGAATCTAATTGTCATTGTCAGTGTTTGAATGAGAAGCTTTTAGCAGCTCAGATATGATTCACCCTGCCTCATTAAAAATATATTCGCAACTACACAATAAAAATATTGATACTTTTCATAATAATAGCACACAGAGCTATGAACATGATGTCACTCTTACTAATGGCTTTGAGTCACAACAGAGTGAATATTCTGCAGCAAAAGCTTTTGTTTTTACTAGCAAGAATATATATATTTATTTATTGGAGATTTAAAAATTCATATTAAAAAAAAAAAAACTGCAGAAAATGGTTTCCACATCTGCTGAAAAACTGCACTTGTTTTTAGGCCTTTCGATAAACGATATATCAATTAATCGCATGATAAATGAAAATTATCTACCTCATTGTCATTTATCGGCTTTATCATTTATTCGTGTCTCTCTTTCTACTGAAGACACTGGATGACAAAAAGCTAAATTCCAGTGCTCTTCACTGACCCCTCCCTTTCTCTTTTCTCTTTAAAATAAGTTTTAATCGTCCAAAGTCATGTTTTTGGATCGCTATAAGCAGCTAAGCTGAGACGCTAAGCTAACAGGCCAACCTCGGTAAAAACCTGTCTCGTCGAAGCTCCAAATTCACAGTTGAAACCTGTGCCTTTGTGTAACAAGTTTTTCTCTGCAAAAATAAGCTGAGAACTTGTTTACTGGTTTTCAATTAAAAGCTTTGTGTGACAAATGCTATGCTAAAAAGCTCAAACCACACTGAGCGTCTGCCATTTTGAAAACCAGAGACAGCCCGTGTCACGTCAAGGGGCCTCCCTCCCATTTTTCTTAAAGAGACACGCTGCTCGCTCCCTCACTATCCATCCTTCAGTCCAAACAGTCTTATACTGCCATCCAGTGGTCAAAAAAAGTACTACATGCAAAACAAATTAAAAATTTCTTCTTAAATTTGACAATTACTAATTATTGTCAAATTTCTAACTATTATCGTTTATCGCAATAATTTCTGAGACAATTAATCGCCCAGCAAAATTTGTTATTGTGATGGGCCTATTTGTTTTATGCGAACACTGGAAAGCATCCCATGCATAAAATTGAAGAGGCAGGGTTCAGTCAACAGTCGACTATGTGTTTCTAATAGATGGGTCAAACGGGTGTAGCCTTCAGGGAGTTAAAGGGGGTGATGGGTGACATTGGTGATGGTGGAAGGGCCTCTTTTATTATTATTTTTTTAATGTTTGTTTCCTCTTGCGCTTGAATAATAGCTCTTCTGTTTCTCTCTACCTCTTTCCTACCCCTTCTTTCCCTCTTCCCCTTCGTCCCAGGGTCCCGCGGAGTCCGTTTCCTTCCTGAGCAGCAGTCTGATTGGTCAGTCCAGTGGAGAAGTTCCTCTCATGGCCCTCCCTCCCCTCCTGACCAAACCAGGGGAGCAGTACCTGGATCTGACCCTGCTGTAGCACATACACAAAAAGTCATGTGACAGTTTGGTATGTAACATACGTTAGTTTAAAAGATTAGTCTTTTAGATGTGTTATTTATATTATTAGGTACAGAAATAAATGTATTTTATATCAAATTTATTGCAGCCTTATCAAAAAATAGCATTTTTATATTGCACAGTTTTTTTTTAAAGCTTTATCATTTTTTTAAGCCTGTTATGTTATTGTAATCATTAAGATATGTTTGCCAGCCAAACTAGAGAATGATCTAGTAGCGACTGAGCTAAATCTTTTCTTTAAGCTTTTCTGTGAAGAGTGAAAGTGTATGCAAGTGTGAGAGGTGTGTTTTATTACTTGATGTGTCAATGCAGAATATTTTGTATGTTTATGTACATTTGATACAGTGACTGTATTGTAAGCTTTAGTGCATGAAGAAGTTCAGTAGTAAAACCCTTTAAGATGTTTACATTATACCAACTATAAATGCACTGCTAATCAGTAAAACAGCATAAAAAATAAAGTAGCAGTATATTTGATTTTTTATTTTTTATTTTTTTTGTTACACTGTGAGTTTGTCAGGACGATTCTTGGATATATTCACAAAAAAATGTGACATCTCACACTTTTATTAACCTCGTCTTCTCATCTTTTATGAATAAATTTCTGTTTCACGCCAGTGCTGGCTGAAATGTTGACCATTGTTATTGTTCACCAAATTGAAAAATGGCAAAGTTTCTTTGTAATTTAACAAGTTTGCATTACTCCAGAGGACGCAAATGTATGTTCTCCTCACTGTATGAATCTGTTTTGAGTTTGAGAATATTCTTGGCCAACTTTATAAAATGTCTTATTTAAAGATATAGTTCAGATTTTTTTAAAATGTGTTTATGTGGAAAGGTTATGAACAGATAGTATCTTACAATTTATAGATGGCTCTTTAAACTACCTCCATTAGGAGAGTTTATTTTGACTAGATTAACAAGTTAACAGGTAGTCGGAGTGAGGTGTTGCTGCTTTAAAAAAACACCAATATGATAAAAAAAAAAAAAAAAAAAATTATCAACTTTCATGTAAATGCTTCTTTGTAAACCTTTACAACATTGTCAATATTGTCATTAAACATAAAATTTCACTCACAAATGTTAGAGCTAGCTACAAATGATGCTATTTACACTTGCAAGAAATTTCTGTCAAAAATAATGAAATGCAAACTTGACAATGATGTAAAGATTAAAAAAAAAAGAAGCTCCAATCACTATGATGGTTTTAAATTCGGCGCTGTTAACAGCAATCCACTTTTGTCTTTTCTAGCTCAAGTTAATCTTGTTTGGACTAGCTAGCAACTGTTTGTTAATCCTGTTTGGACTACTTAACACTTTTTAGTTTATCCAGTTTGAGGCTAGCAACTGTTTGCTTACTCTGTTTGGACTAGCTAACAATTTACAACTATTAGCTAATCCTACTTGGTTTAGTTAACAACTGACTTGCTAATTGACTAGCTAGCCTCACTTGAACTAGCTGTTGGCTTGTTAACTTGATCAAAATTAAAAATTTGAACTCGTAACTTAAAAGAGCTATCTAAAACATTAATTGTTCACGAACAAAAATTCTATTTCAAAATCTTAAAGCATTGCTTTTTGATTTTAGCTGTCCTTGTATTGTTTCCTTTGTCTGTGCCAGGGGTCTGCAACCTGCGGCTCTGGAGCCACATGTGGCTCTTTGGTTCCTCCACAAGCGTTGACCAAAACTAACATAAAACTGAATTTTATTGGTTGTTAGGAAAACTGCTTTTTGTTGTTTGTATGTCATTTATTTTGAAAATATGTGAATACTGGAACTAGTACAAGGAGTAAAACATACTTTAACTTTATGCTTTATTTCAATAATTAATTTTTCCACAATAAAAAAAATACATAGGTCTGCATAGTTCATAGTTTGTATTCCTTTAACACCCCCCAACACCCAAGAATGTTTTTTTTTTCATTTGTCTTAAATTGTAAAGATATTAATAAATGTTAAAACTCATTAGATATTTTTAGCTTTATAATGTCACCCGGCAGCACGGTGGCGCAACTGGTAGAGCTGCTGCCTCTCAGCAAGCAGGTCCCTGCTTCAAATCCTTGTCCAGGGGCCTTTCTGGGTGGAGTTCGCATGTTCTCTCTATGCATGCGTGGGTTTTCTCCGAGTACTTCTGTGTCTTCCCACAGACCAAAAACATGCATATTAGGCTGATTGGTGACTCTGGATTGTCCCTAGGTGTGAGTGACAGAGTGAATGGTTGTTTGTCTCCGTGTCCCTGTGATGGACTGGAGACCTGTCCAGGGTGTACCCCACCCCTCGCACAGTGGTTGCTGGACATGGGCACCAGCAACCCCCATGACCCAAAATGGAAGAAGCGAGTAAAAGATAATGGATGGATGGATGATGGATGGATAATTTCACTCCTAGTGGCCACAACAGCCCCCTCTACTTAAAGTGGCCCACCAGTTGATAATCACAGTTGTAGCATGTTCTTGTGGCTCTGACCTGAAGTAGTAAAAATGGCTTTTTTGCTCGTAAAGGTTGCAGACCCCTGGTCTGTGCTGACAGTGAATTATAATAGAACAAAATGCAGAAATTTGATCAGAAATGTTTTTTTCCTTACTGTTCATTGGTAAACCTTCAGAAACATTGAAAAATAAAAGGAGCTGAAGGATGTTTGACGTGTTTTGTGAAAACTCCCTGCCATTTGTACTTTGGCAGAGTCAAAGTATGGACTCTATACTCATGTCTTCAAGTCCGAGTTGGTCCTGCTGCAGACATGCTGGATAAACAGAAAATACAAAATAAACACAACATGCCAAGTTTGCAGTCTTCATCTGCTTGATTTCAACATTCGTCTGCTGTAATTTATCTGTACTTATTGCACAGCGTGTACCTCAGGAGGGATTTGAGGTAGAAAATCACAAAACACACAGAATGTTGCTCAAGGCAAAACTAAGGGAACTCCCTCACACTGTTCTCTGCGATTCCCTCTGTTTTCCACATACACACATCCTATAGCAAATAAACCATTGTCACTCAAACACTAAGTGAGAGGAAGGTTTTCCACTGGGTGGGAAAGTGAAGAATGGGGAGAATAAGAAGGAACGCAGACTAAAGATGTCTGAACCCCTCAGGACAGATTTGTCATTGTGTAATTCAATCCTTCGCACCCCACCCAGCTTGATCCTTTAAAACACGCTCGCTTATTCTCCCACTCCCAAAAACGCACCACATAAACCAGCAGCATCACAATCCATCCAACAAAACTCTCCACTGTCTTATGAACTCCTTCAAACTTAAATGCACTGTAACTGTAATTCTAACATGTTATGTAGAGCTTTATATTTTAGATATAAATTAAGATCTATCCTTTGTTGGAGCTACAATGAAATGGCATTTGAAGTTGCTGGTAAATACATTTCTACTCCCCTTCATCTTCCGCTTTTAAAAACAAATCGACAGCTTTAACTGAATACATTTTTAAGTGACTAGTAGAAACTGATTGCTACAGCAGGTGTTTCAGATTAGACTGTCCCCCCCCCCCCCCCCCCAAAAAAAAAAACCCACTGTCCAAGCAACATTTTATACCCTTTCATATATCATTAGTATATAATTTGAATGACAGATTATTTCTTTCAACATGTTTCAGATTTTAACAGTTCTTTGACACATTCATTGCAGCTGTATTATCCACTGCTAAGTAGGTCACTGAAGAAAAGAGCTAAAGTGCAATTAAGACTGACTCATCCTGCATGCACCTGAGAGGTGTAGCGGCAGATGAATCGTCTTTATCCTTTTATCACTGCATTCCCTGACGGGGAGGGTGAGAGCGACAGACTGAACATGAAGGGTGAGGCCGATCCACATTCCCGTGTCAGAGCAGAGGCTGAAAATGTCGACTGAAAAGTTGTCAAGACTGTTTGACCTTCACTGAACTCCACAACCAACTGGAAAAATGAGTGAGAAGGCAGCAGCTGCTTGGAGCACAGACAAACAAAAAGAATTAAAAATGAGACGAGCAGCAAAGTTATATTTTATTTCCAAGAACATGCTTTCTCAGATCAGATTTGCCAGTGGTGAAAACTGCAGGGGGGGGGGGGGGGGGGGGCAAAATTCTCCCTGGTGACAACCATGAGGGCTGCCTCAACACTTTTGATTTGTCTCCTTCTAGTGGACAAACCGAGACAAATGTACAATATTCAAAAGATGTCCCATACCTGAGGCAATTTATCCTTGAAAACACATTCTGTAGGCTTTTTGTTTATTTTAAACCACAAATACTGCAAATGTTTTAGCATGTAAAAATGGAGATTTCATATAATTTATACAGAAGTAAGCATTTACAGTGTCAGCATATTACAATGTCTATGTACACTTTGAACAAACGGGTTTAAAAGTGAGGTGGCTTTCATTTGGACGGTGCTTCTGAGTGGAGATTAGTGCCTCAATCGTTAATAGACATAAATAAAAACAAAAAGAATCGCATGAAACCTAAAAGATAACCCCAAAACAAATCGGAAAGTTTAGAGAAATGCATGAATCGTGCAGGCAGCATCAGCACAACTGAGCCAGTCCGTTAGATTCCAGTTTTAGATCAGTGAAGAACATGAAATTTAAGCAAATGTTAACAGTAATGTAAATATGTTTTAATAAGTCCTAAATTTGCTGCAAACGTTGGTCGATGGCTTCTGCCTGTTTTGTTCTGTCTGTGTGAAGTTGCAGCGTTTGAGGGTCCAGGCCTCAGAGTTCAGTCATCAGCAGGGCTCTCAGGATCTTCTCTCTGTCCAACTTAATTTCCTCTCCGCTGCAGAAACGCACAAAAACACAGACTTTGTGTCATAACTGCGCTGTGCCTTATTTTTATTATCGTGGCTGAAATGTGTCACCCTATTTTACATTTGACAGCAGTACATGATTATGAAATTGATAATGTCTTTCATCAATATAGTTACAAAAACAAAACAGTAAAATCAGTAATCAATAGGAAAATGTTTTTTTTTATAATTACGAGCTGTGACCTCACTGGTGCAGGGTTTATTCAGAACCCACATGGAGAATTTCTCCTCTGTTTCTGTGGTAACAAACCAGTAGTCCCCTATTAAGGTTTGGCTGTGTGTTCCCCAGTAAGTACTGGTTAACTACCCATTAGCTCCTGATTCGTTCCTGAGGCGTTCCCTAGTTGTTAATCAAATTTTGTGTACTTTATTGTAAAGTGTTACCGATACATTTCTTCAGTTCAGCTGGTAAATGGACTGTACTTATACAGCGCCTTTCTATCTTCTCAAGACACTCAAAGCTCTTTACACTACAATCTGTGTCCTCATTTACCCATTCATACAGCGCTCTACTAGATCTATACAAAGCTAATTGAACAAATCATTCTAAAGAGAATAATCAGTATTTTATCACATTCATAAACCAAGAGGACACATATCGGAGGAAATACGGGGTTCAGTGTCTTGTCCAGGGACACTTCAGCATGTGACTGCTGGTGGATTCGATCCCCCAACTATTGCATTGGAGGACGACTGCTCTAACCACTCAGCCACAGGTGATCCAACACATTACGAGGTGGTGACACTGAGAGGTATAATTTATAAGGTCAATGAATAAATCAAAATTAAGTCTTCAAAATCTTAGCAAAAGCGTAGCTACTAATCCAGCAGGGTAAAACTTATCTTTTATTTTTAATTTTGATCATATTATTATACATCCTTTATCGTTACTCTTGCTAAATTATCTAAATGTAAAAGCAGAGAATCCCAATACTGAATCAAAATGAAAGGAAGTGGTGATCATATAATCGCTGGTTGGTGTGTGTGTGTGTGTCAGCGCAATATCTCGTGAACCAGATTTTAAGGAAACTCGGATGATAATATTTGGATATACGTTTACAACCGAACAACTTGGAAGAGTCAACCTGATTCAAGATGGCTGCCGCAGCTAAAAATAAATAAAAATGGCTGCAACTCAGTGAATTTTGTTGATATAAGGCTAGAATCTGATGCAATAGTAGTGTAGGGTCATCAGCAAAACACAATGAGCGCTAACTGATTGCATGATTTTTTTTTTTGTTTAAAACTTTAGCATTAAATGTTGGAGTCAAAACTGTTAGCAAAATATCCCATGAACTACTGGACAGCATAAAGAAAGTAATCTAGACCAGACTAACTGGTAGTCGACTTGAGTCAAGATGGTTGCCACAGCTAAGCAAAGCAACCTTAGCAAACATAAAAATGGCTATACTGCAGTCAATTTTACAGATATTGAGCTAACGTTTGGTGTGGTAGTAGTTCACCATCATCTCCAACACATGATAGCTAACCTATCTCACAAAATTTAAATTTTTAACTATGGCATGTAATGTTAACATGCCAAACATGACTAGTTTCATTGTAAATAATGTTATAACGTGAAATGGGGTAAACTAATGTTTTACTGTCTTTCTTGTTTTTTAATACCTCATGAAACTTGAAACGTGTTATTTTACAGAAGAATGACAAGAACAAGTCATGAGAATGTCAATCTTTGTACTTAACAGATGGATGTTGACATTTATGCTAAGCTTTACCAACTTAAGAAAAAGTTGTTAATGTATTGTTTTTTCCAATGTTCATCCATATCATTGTTAAACTTTGACAGGATTAGATTTAACATAACCACTTTAATTAATAAGTTATAACTCATAGTAAAAAAAAACAAGTGCTACATCAAGTAAACATGAAAAAAAAAAATCTCAGCCAGTAGCAGGAATTTCACTGAACAAAACTTTAAACGCAACACTTTTGTTTTGCTCCCATTTTTTCATGATCTGAACTCAAAGATCTAAGACTTTATTGATGCACACAAAAGGCCTTTTTCTCTCAAATATTGTTCACACATTAGTGTAAATCTGCGTTTTTAGTGAGCACTTCTCCTTTGCTGAGCTCCACCTCACAGGTGTGACACATCAAGATGCTCATTAGACTGCATTCTATTCTACAGCAGTCTATTTTGTTCAGTATCGATGAAGCACTAACTGTGGAGTTTTGTAGTTCTACAAATGCATTTTCCCTCCAATAATTATTTGGTTTATGGTATCAATATAGATTAACTCCAAAATTTCTAAATAATAACATGCCATATTTTTAACTAAATATTTAGTTTGGGTTGAGGTAGAACGACATACAGTTCAGCCATTATGAACAACAGCTTTAGTTATTTGAAGCTGAAACATCTGAACTGTTGTTGAATGACAGTACTGTGCAAAAGATTAAAACCACCATTTAAAAAAACAACATTTTTTTTTTTTTTTTGTATCATAGAAGCCAGGCTTCTTTTTAAAAATCTTTTAAGTTGTCTTTTCTTTTAAAGTTTTTCTTCTGACTTTGGCTGCTTTTTCCACTCGTTTTTCAGTCCATTCCTTGCATTTGACCATGACGGCACATTCTGCAGTGTGTTCTTAAAAAAACTGAGGAACCTGGACACTTGGAGAACAAAAGAAGTGTAAAACCTAAACATTGTTCAGCAGATGACGGCATCTGGAAGTCACATCTTTAGAGAACGATTTTTGCAAAGACCTCAGAGAAGAATCAACCTTAACAAGTTTTGGGAACACTGTTAGAATGATTGTGTTGATACTAATATATATATTTTTTTAGTTTAAATTTTTTTTTTTTTTTGTCTTTTTCAATGATTTAAAAAAAAAAACCCAGAATGAACTGTGTTTTTGTGACAGACTGCTTGTAACAAAGCACCTAAAAATGAAATCAACTTTAAAATAGGTTCTGTGTTTAAGTTGTTTACCAGTATGTGTCGACACAACACTGGTTCATTTTTTGAGTTTTGAAACTGTTTTGATGTCAATGATTGTTAGAATTAGGTGGGTGTATGAACAATAAACATTCCTCTGAAAATGTTCTGGCACTGGACGACAAAAAAAAAAAAAGAAAAACAGCCAAAGTCCGAATATTTTTCTTTTTGAAAGACCCTCAGAAAGTCTGTAAAACTATTCATCAAGAAGACCAATTTAAAAGATTAAGAAAAATTCTCACTCACTGGAAGGAAAAAAGATTTCAGACTTATACATAGTACTGTACACATTTAGTCTTTTTAACATTTCATAAAGTGGTCGTACAGTTTCAGACACACTTCTGAAAGATGCAAAGCAAAATGCAAGTGCCTCAGGGCGTTTCTTGAGCACAGCACTAATGTAAAATTATTGGAGCGTGGATGTGTTACCTGTTGTTATGAGCAGTGAGGTAAGGGACCAGGTGAGGCATAGAGCTACGGTAGTAAGAAGGGGAGAGGTGGGGGGAAGGCGAAGGAGAGGGACAGCATGGACTACTCAGCTCCAGTGTTGGCATATTATCCACCTGGAATCAGTGCATGCACAAACACAGACATTCCTGTTTACTCAAAGACAATGCAGGGAAAATGAAGTAGACTTTTCCCCTCAGGTGGATAGCAGTGAATGACACAAGATAAAGGTGCCCATGCGTTTAAATGTACTAGCTTGGTGTTTACCTGTGGGTATATAGATGGTTGTATCTGTTTGTCCAGAGAGCTGCTAGATCCTGACTTTCCTGCACTCTGAGAAGAGATGGCTGCAAGAGCTTCTGGTAGATCGTCTTCATCCTCGTGGTTACTGATGAGTAACAAAATGACAGTGAGTGGCTTCTGTGTCCTGCAGGCTGACGGTGTATAACCTACAGAGGTGATTGTTGTTTAGCTGTGGGGAATTGGACCCAGTTTACAGGAGTTCCCATTGTTATGTTTTTGGAACCAGAGTCTGTGCACCAGGAATATGAGGGTTTTAAATCCCATTTACTCTCCCACACAAAATCATGATGTCATGTGACTTTTCTTTTAGGCATGAAATAACCAATGAGTTTAAGTTAAGCTGTAATTTCATGCCTAAAAAGTAATATAATATTATATACAAATATAATATTTTGTGCCAATACATTTTTTTTTGGTGGTGGCATAATTAGTTTAATAGTTGCTATATAGTGAATGTTTATGGAGGAACGTGAAGGGAAAAAAAAAAAACCAGAAACACATGGCAGAATAACCACCTAATATATTGTTTCTCCTTTATAGATGACAAGTCTTACAGCTAAACACAAATAAAAGTTTTACTGATAAACAAAAGGGCGAAAATAGTGGGCATTTCCTGTAAAAGTTTTAATGTTGGAAAAATGAATATTTGAACATACAACAGTAAGGTTAAACCTATGAATCAACAGAAAAAAACATTTATATATATTTATATACAATAGTCCCTCGCTACTTCACGTTTCGTTTATCACGGTCTCGTTCTATCTCGGTTTTTCAAAATAAGATTGGACATGACACACAATTGGCTGATTGATGGATGAGCCGCACAATCGGCATGGAATTTTTATTTGAAATAGATTAGTTTAAATTATTAAGCACCTGCTGCACCTGTGTGCAGTAGCTTCCTTCTGCAGCGGAGAAGTGGGCGTGGCCAAAAGCGCTTACAGATGACGAAGTGCAGCAGGAGGCAGGGAGCTGAAATCATGACATGCTGTGCCCTTTTAGAGCGTTTAGAAACATCGTTTAGAACATTGCAAGAGTGTGGGAAGGGTTTATAACGCCTTCATATATATAAAAATACTCAAATAAACTACTTACAACTACTACTTGGATTACTGTATCCCTACTTCACGGTTTTTCACTTATCAAGGGGGGGGGGGGGGGGTTGTCCCTAACACCTGTGATAAATGAGGGAACACTGTATTATCATTTGCAATGACATTTTACCAGTGGCATTGCTCAGTTGATTTATGTGAAGGGGACAGGACTTTAAACTTGAAGAGGAACCAGCCAGCAGGAAAAACTGGTCCTTTTCAGGCTTCACCTTCTGAGGTTCAAGGCGATATCTAGATACGTACAATCTTTGGAATTTAAACATATGCAGCACTAACTAACCCTGTTTTGGTTCAGGTTTTTTTCCATTATTTAGACATATATGATGTTACAGTTCCTGCTGCGCCCCTATTTCCCAACATATTGCCTGGTTAGTGGAGTTGCACTCACAAGCTGAACTGTCGGACGAGGCGTTTCCTGCGGTTGGAGCTGGGGTTGCCTTTGGCCTGCAGTTCCTCTGCTGTTAAGTTACGGTCCTGCTGCCGGTGCGGCGTCTTTTCTGCTGTCAAACTGGATGCTGCAGAGTCTTGGGATGAACTCTGATACCTAAAAAAAAATATGACGGAGTGAGACCTGGTATGTAAAAAAGCTGTGTAAATCTGAGAACAGCACAAGTTACTAGCCTGCCATTGAGGGTCTCATTTGAGCTCTTTCCTCTGGGCGTTGTTGGAGTCTCCTTCTTTTTTGTGCAGGAGAAAAGAACAGAAGTTACACTTCACACAAGGCAAAGTTTAAATCTTAAAGTATGGTACTCACCCTAAAAGCTGCCTCCATCTGGGCTTTGAGGATGTTACATTTGAGGTGATCAGGGAGGGCCACAGGAGAAGCAGGGGGGTGCAGAGATTTTTCCGACAACTGCTTCTCGTCTCCCTGCCGGGCAAATGACGAGAAAAGTGAGGGGAGCTGGGAAATATCTCAGCGTGACAGGAGAACATGACGGGAAAATGTGTTTGACCTTTTTGTCAATGTTTATGTGAAGCGAAGGCCAGGGAGGAGAATGGTCGTCTGTCTCCAGAGCTTTGAGAAGAGACTGAGAGATGTCCAATTCTGCAGGGCAGGGAGGAGCTCGACGTTCTGACAGAAAGATTATAAGATGTAAAACACTTAAAATCACACTTAGCCTTGTCTAATCTGTGGTTTTACAGGTAGAACAAGAGGTATGAAAAACAATTACAGGATTTAAATATAGCCTGACATTTCAGACTCGCATATAGTTTGTGCTGGTATTCGTCTATAGAGGTAATTTTCTGCTGATGGGCTTTTTTCAACATTAAGCTCAATAAGCTTGTTTTTTTTTCTAACTTGAAAACAGGAAAAAAGTTAAATATACTAATAAAAATGTATTTTTTTTTAATCATAATATGAAAACAAAAGATGAAGCACACAGAAAGTTTACACTTCAGCCAACCTTCGTTCAAACTGATTGACACTTTAATCACTAAAAATATAAGTGGTGAGTTTGAACATTAGCTTGCATTAAATACGTTTCAACTTTGACCTTAGCAAACACAAAAAATGTCTATACCTCAGTCAGTTGGACAGATATTGATCTAAAACTTGGTGTGAAGGGAGCGGACATTCCCGAAATAAACTCCCAAGTATCCAACATTTTTCAGTCAAGTCATCTGGAAAAAGAAAAGAAAAAGAAACTGTCCAGATGACCTGACTGAAAAATGTTAGATTTTATACCTGGATTATTGAGCATGGACTTTGTTGTTTTCAACCAGTTTGACATGACTGTCAACAAGGAAGAGGGCCAGCAATGGAGGAGGGGCGTACCAAAGAGACCATCTAATCACAAGCAGAACTGGTTTGTTCCACTTTGGAGTAAGCTTTTGGAGGAAGAATCAGTTTTGTTGTGTTTCCTTGACTGATGAAGCCTTCTGGATCGAAGGCGAAACATTTCAGCACAAAAAAAAAAAAAAAAGCAACTGTCCAGATGACCCGACTGAAAAATGTTGGATTTTATACCTGGATTATTGAGCATGGACCTTGTTGTTTTCAAACTCCCAAGTACTACAGATGGCTGGCAAAATTGTCTAAAAAGGTTAAAACTCGTCCGTTTTTCAAGACAACATGATCTTAACTTAAAACTCTGGCATGAAAGGCAGCATTCCTTCAGGAAATGAAGTTTCTCTGCAAGCTCTAGTAATACTTTTTGTTAATTTTCATTTAAATGGTAAAGTCCTTCATGCAAAATAAATAATTCAGAAACATAAAAAGTAAATGATCTACAGACGTTGTTTAACTTAGATGTGGACGATCAGTTCAAAGAACCCCTTTAGCCATAAAAATGAGTAGCATTGTGTTTTTAGACCAATAGTACTCACTGTTCTTGGTGTGTGTGTGGCAAAGTGTGTCCTGGCTGTGTGTGTGGCGACGGTGGTGGCTCTTCCCAGAGTAACAGTTTTCATTCTCTGACGAGCTGTACTGATGGTCTGAAGCAGGACCACTCAGAGGGAAACTGGGGAGGACACACGCCATCAAAACAGAACACGTCCACTCCACACAAAGATCGAGGCCTTTTTTTACACATGGTAACTTCATGCAGACATTACCTCAGAATATGCATCAGTAAATAAGAAAACAATCTTTGCAGTTTTTGTTCTCATGAATTGTTTATTTTCAAAGCAGCATCAATTCTAAAAGGCAAAATGTGATTCAAGTAAACACAAAAGTTCAAAAAGGCAAAACTAGAACAGCACTTTTTTTTTCTGTAAACACTTGGTTGATTTAACAAAATCCACAGCCCGATGTAACATTAATATAATGTTTATTCCAAAAGAACTCACGCAGAAAAGCGCACCGCCTCATATGCAAAACTCTACTTCACACTTTGAATTCACACCGAGCTACACGCCATAAATAAAGCAGCTTTTAATCCCTAGAACGGCACACGACCGAAGCCCGTCCACCTGATGAGAATTACCTCAATTCAACACAAATCGCTTTAATTCACTTTAATCAAGTGATTAGGAACAAACAAGCTGTCAGAATATTCATGAAGGAAAAAATAAAATCTGTCATATTAAACTGAGCTTTAGCTGGATTGAGATTGAAACCTTGATTACATTAAAAACACACAAAGCAAGGCATAAACCCACATAGCTTTAAGTTGAATATTTTAATAACATTCAAGTTTTGTTTTAAAGTTGTTTAACGTATGTAGCAACAAATAAATTAAAGTGTTGATTCTGAACCATAATTGTTTTAAATTTTTTAATGATTCTCACGGGTATTGTAGCTTGGAACCACCTGGAGATAATTCGTTTTTGGCAAATATTTGGTTTTACTTTGTCACACTGTCTCCATTAAAAGAAGATAAATAAATCCCCAATAAGCAGGTAAATTAAGTGGCAGACTTTTGCTGTATTGTTAAAATTCACTTGTGTTTATTTGTGGTAAAATATATTTTCCTAAAGTTGCACTGAAATTCTGTCTTCCGTGACTTTTTACTGAGATTTGACCCCTCATAAGGAATAAAATGCAGCTACTTGGAGCCTCCATGAGCTTTGTAACTGCTCATAAAGTTGATAAGGCAGAAGAAATCAGCAGGCAAGACATCAAAAACTACATTTTCTACCATTTTTAGAGCAAAAACTGGTCCCTTTCTCCTCTAACAGCATCTCTGTCGCAATTCTCCTCCCAAATGCCCCTCAAATATTAAAAAAAGCTATCATCGGTATGATAAAATCATTTTGCATTTAGGACAGACACAGGAGTTGAAACAATAAATGGGTGACCACAGTACTGATGATGACGATGATGGCGAAGACGATGGTGGTGATGATGGGAGTGCATTCAAGTTCAGCGTCTTTCTTTGGGGTAAAGTTAATGTCGGAGTTCTGAAACCAATTCCCAGGTTAAAGACGGGTCAGAGTGCAGTCATGACCTTATCCCTGAAAACCAAACTGATGGATCTTTTGCGGGCGCCGTCGGACCGCTCGGGGACTGGAGGAAGACTGGAGGTGGGACTGGCAGCCCCAAAGGAAGGTCTGAGCGCAACAAGTGCGGTCATGGAGGCAGACAAGACACAAATGAAGCGTATGAGTGACATGAAGTGCAACTGGAAGAGGCAGAACAATGAAGTGTGCGTGCGTGCATCTGTGGTCGGCCATCTTACCTGTGGGGCGGCGTGTGACTGGAGGGCTGCAGGTAAACCGAGGTTGTGAGAGCGGGGTGGGATGGATGCCACAGATCGTGACCAATAGGAATGTTGTGTTGGTACTAAAGTGGAAGAAAAGCAGAATTAAATGAGGCTAGAAGCCGTACTGGATGCTGCTGCTTATACTGCGTAGTGTGTGTGTGTGTGTGTGTGTGTGTGTGTGTGTGTGTGTGTGTGTG